TTCCGATCAGATCAAGAAGGTCGGATATGTATTACTAGCAAGTGGTAAGGAGAGCAGATGACCTGAGGAAGAGATTGAACCGAGACGGAAGAAGTGAGTGTAGTTGAGTGAAAAGCAAGAAGAGTGTTTCCTGTCAGACAAGCTGCCCAGAGATTAGATGAAGAGAGCGACAAATGAAGGAACGTGGGGTGAGAGAACAAAGTGGTGGTGGAGGTAAGTTAGAGGGGAGGAAGCTGGTGATTGTTTATCAACTCCAGATTAGGCAAACGCAGCTAGTGCGAGGCAAGAGCGACTGCCACGAGGTGGGATACAATGCAAAGGCAGCTGCTATCACTGCCATCGCGATGGCCTTCCAATAGCAGAGACGATACCTTCAAAGGTGATTCAATTGTGCTCACCGTCGATGAGGCAATCGCAAGTAGGTTGAGTGCCGCTTGGTGTTGAGGGTCGAGTCCAGGCAGTAACGAGTGCCATGCTTTCTCTCTAGTGTTTCATCAGTCAACAAGCTCTCACATTTGAGCCTATTGTTGTCCACAGACCCAACAAGGAATACTTACTAGCAGCACGAGTTGAGGCACAAGTTATACGCCCTCGGCTGCCGGCCGGATAGATGAACTCTCCGTTTGTAGAAGTCGAAGAGGGAAGTTATCGTTAGAAACTTTGGAATGAGTGAGGGATCTTTGCGATTCGCGAGAAGGCAGATACGACATTTCAGAGCGCCTGGCAGGAACCACCATCCTTCCCCGGTTGTTAGATTCACGCAGCCACACATATTTGCTGTCAGTCCTCATAGCCATCTAGTGTCTGGTGACTCCGTATTTTTCGTCAGCTCTGTCGCCGCTTCGCAATGTCTCTTGCAAAAACTTATCTTTATCTACATTTTCCCGACCGAATCATGCGCCAGCCATAAGAGCCTATTGAATAGACCATTGGAGATTATTTGTCCATCGCGCCCATGATTGAAGCGTAAGCCTTGCTCAGTGATGTGGATTCCCTACCTTAATTGAGTGCCATTTCCCCTCCAAAGTCCACTTCGTTTTGGTATATATATTCGCGGTACCAAGACGCCAAATTGCAATCGTGCGATGTTGCGTCTCGATTCGAGTAGCATATACGTAAGGGTACATTATGCCACATCGGTGTCTTCTCGGGAATGTACTGGATTTGCTGTCTCAAGCGGATGTAGCCGTCTCATGTTTGCAGATCGTCTCTAACGGGTCATGGTATCGTGGTGATCGCGACTGGCAAACTTCTGCAAGGGGCTTCGCTACTAGAAAAAACTGCAGATGTGATCATCGAGAAATGGCGTACCACGCACGTCATGATATAACGCCCTACGTTGGTGTGATGCATACTCTGCAAAATCGATGCAGGTCAGAAGGATACAGATTGCCTCGAACCAAAGCCCCGCGCCGTTCCCCAGCCACTTAGGGTTCTGGAGATTACGTCGTTGGCGGGGTTGCGAATCGGCAGGGTTGCCGGAGCTATGGACTGATAACGTCCAGTAGCCTCGGAGCCGCGCGCCACCGTATCTCACGATAGTTCTTTTTTCTTTGCTGTATGCCTCCTGTGAAATTCAATCTAAGAGGATCTTGTCGCCCTGCACGCACACCCGTCGCGACCGCGCCATCCCGCCGTATACCAGCTCCAGCTACTGTGACCCCGCCATCCACATCTCGAGCTCAACAGCGCAACTTCCGTACTTCTATCCTGAAAATGGACGCGCACAATTCTTCCGGCGCATCCGCCACCTCAGGCGATACTTTGAAGCTGAAGAACCGCCTGAACGAGAGTCGAAGCCCCTATGTACGAGGCCACATGCACAACCCGGTCGCATGGCAAATGTGGGGACCAGAGGCTATTGAGCTGGCGAAGAAGTCGAACAGGCTCATATTCATCAGCATAGGCTATGCGGCATGTCATTGGTGTCACGTCATGGAGCGCGAGTCGTTTGAGAACGACGAGGTGGCAAAGCTGCTGAACGAGAACTTCATACCGATAAAGATTGATCGCGAAGAGCGTCCGGATGTCGATCGCATATACATGAACTATGTACAGGCAACAACTGGTTCAGGAGGATGGCCCTTGAATGCTTTCATTACACCAGACCTAGAGCCGATATTCGGTGGGACATACTGGCCTGGTCCAGGGTCCACGATGGCAATGGGCGAGCACATTGGCTTTGTTGGCATACTCAAGAAGATTCGCGATGTGTGGAGAGATCAGCGTCAGAGGTGTCTGGAGTCGGCGAAGGAGATTACAGCACAACTGCGCGACTTTGCTGAGGATGGGAACATTAGTAGAAAAGACGGTGCAGCTCATGAAGGCCTAGATCTGGACCTTTTAGATGAAGCATATGAGGTGAGTCAATTACGTTCTGTTACAAAGCCCATCACTGAGGAATCCAGCACTTCAAGAAGCGATACGACAAGCAGCACGCGGGCTTCGGCAGTGCGCCCAAATTCCCTACGCCCTCGAACCTCAAATTCCTCCTCAAGCTATCAGAATATCCAAACGCGGTGAAAGAAGTGCTCGGAGCAAAGGACTGCACACACGCAAAAGATATGGTGCTAGCGACATTGGAAGCGATGAACAAGGGCGGCATACACGATCAGATTGGAAACGGCTTTGCGCGATACTCTGTCACCAAGGATTGGAGCCTGCCACATTTCGAGAAAATGCTCTACGATCAGACGCAACTACTACCTGTATACCTGGACGCGTATCTCATGACAAAGAGCCCTGAACATCTTTCCGCGGTCCACGACATTGCGACATATCTCACCAGCCCGCCTATGCATGCCGAAAGTGGAGGCTTTTTCTCGTCCGAGGACGCTGATTCACTATACCGGCCGAATGACAAGGAGAAGCGTGAAGGCGCGTTCTACGTGTGGACGTTGAAGGAGTTCCAAGACATACTAGGTGACCGAGACGCTGAAATTCTCGCAAGATACTACAACGTTCACGACGAGGGCAATGTTGCGCCGGAACACGATGCGCACGACGAACTGATCAACCAGAACGTACTAGCAATCACCGCTACACCAGAAGACCTAGCGAAACAGTTCGGTCTGTCGGAAGATGAAGTCAACAAGATACTAACCGAAGGCCGGCAAAAGCTCCTCGAGCACCGCAACAAAGAGCGCCCGCGACCTGGTCTAGACGACAAAATCGTCGTATCCTGGAACGGCCTCGCCATCGGCGCACTAGCAAGAACCTCTGCCGCCCTCTCATCTCAAGATCCCTCACGCTCAAAAACGTACCTCACTGCAGCCGAAAAAGCAGCCACCTTCTTGCAAAAAGAGCTCTACAGCCCCGACACCAAGACCCTCATCCGCGTCTACCGCGAGGGCCGCGGCGATGCACCTGGTTTCGCAGACGACTACGCCTACCTGATCTCCGGACTCATCTCCCTGTACGAAGCCACCTTCAACGACAGCTACCTCCGCTGGGCCGACGACCTGCAACAAACACAGCTGAGAATGTTCTGGGACAAACAGCACCTTGGTTTCTTCTCCACGCCCGAAGACCAAAAGGATCTTATCCTGCGGTTGAAAGACGGTATGGATAATGCCGAGCCAGGTACCAACGGCGTTTCAGCACAGAACCTGGACCGCTTAGGCGCATTACTGGAAGATGAGGAGTACACTAGGAAGGCGCGCGACACGGCATCCGCTTTTGAAGCTGAGATTATGCAGCATCCTTTCCTCTTCCCTAGCATGATGGATGCGGTGGTTGTGGGGAAATTGGGTATCAGACATAGCGTTATCACGGGTGAAGGGCAGAAGGTAGAAGAGTGGTTGCAGAGGTACCGGGAGAGGCCTGCTGGTCTTGGCACAGTTAGTAGAGTGGGCAAGGGAATGGGCGATTGGTTGAGTCAAAGGAACGGGTTGGTGAAGAGTATGGACGGAGGTAAGGAGGGGGTCATGGTGTGTGAAGGTGGGGCTTGCAGAGATGCGTTGAGTATGGATATGGGGAGTCTGGAGGATGCTGTGCCAAAGGTATAGTTTTGGCCAAGGCCGCGATGGAATGATTGTACGGTTTACACGACGGATGAATATCAAGATGCAGCTATGTCTTATAGAAGCGCTTGTACGGAATGAATACAACGAATTCTTAGCGAGGGGTACTTTGGAGCTTCTGAAATCTCATGCCCCGCACCACAACAGCAAAAAGTTTAGCTCTTCGATCATTAGTTCACTGTTAGTCGAAGATTTCTCATCAGATGAACAAAAAGAATGATTTTGATGGTCACTACGAGGGTCGAACTCGCGACCTTGGCGTTATTAGCACCACGCTCTAACCAACTGAGCTAAGCGACCAGGTTATTGTTGTTCGATGGAGGATTGAAAATATAAATATAATATAGCCGCTTGTGACTATTGTGGCAATGAATAGCTGGTGTCGGCATCGAACATCACACATGGCTGTCATGACAAAGTCCTAGTGAACGTTTTTACCTGCCACGTGGGTGCAGGCAGAAGTGGGGGCATAGTGGGGCATAGCGTATGGACATGGAAAGATGCGGCGAAAACTGTGCAACCCGCAGGGAAAATCATGATATTCAACTAGGCAATGACAATGTTACAAATACAACGGGCATTGATTGGTTCTGAATAGCATGTTTGACGACTACTTCTAGTGTATCACAGCTTCCTTGTCATTGTATAGAAGTATCTTGAGTATTTGCTTAACGATAACGAGGAAGACGACGAGGAAGATGGCGAGGAGGAAGCCGCGGAGGCGCTTAACACCAGCTTCCATCTGCCAGCTAAAGGAAGACGCGGAACGTCTTTAGGCCAGTCTTGAACTGCAGAGTATACTGCATCTCGTGGCAGATCCTAGGCAAGTCGTCTAGCAACTGCAGCTATATTAGGCGTTCGCAGGCAGACACGATCTAGGAACGCAGAGAAAGTGCGATTCCCTAGTCCGGCTAAGCAGGGTGCAGACACTTTGCTGGCATTGGTCAAGGAGGAAGACGATGAGTAAAGATGAAGTCTGCCTGGCTCTTAAATGTCGTAGATTTTTGCTTAACGAATACCTTTTAAGCATATTACGGCATTATCAAACATGTGATACGAAGCAAAAACAGTCACGTAAAGAGACACCTCATCTGCGTACGTGTGCAACAAACAGAGTATTGCGACAACAGCACCTGGCCAAGTGACAGACAGTTTCCACAAAGCGTTGGTATTAAACTTTTTTTTTTCAAGCCCACCGCCGTACATTACGCTCGTCCGTCGTGCCCGATGTTATGGGTATACAAAGATGATATCCGCTAAAATCAAGCCCCTCCCCCCCTCCCTCATATGCAATAATTTCTATTTATGTTGGCTCGTCCGTGCCGTGGTGTAAGAAGTGACCCAAAAGTACTTTTCTCCAGTGCCGTCCGTCGAATGATTACAGGCTTCACACACGCTGCTACTGTTTACTGCATGTGTTGTTGCTGTTGTTGTTGTTGTTGGAGCGCAGGATTACCAAGTGACACGCTCGCGAGGGTATCAGTTGTGAGGTTCAAAGGATTGTTAGTTTTACTTGCTGCAGCGGCCGCCTCTTTGGCCTTTGCCTTCTTGTTCTTCTTCTTACTCGTAGTAGCTGCGCCGCCATTACTAGAAGAAACCTTGTTGATCAACTCGCCACCTCCAGCGTCAGCATCAGGCCAGTCGAATGTGTAACGTCCGTCTGCAGCAAATGGCTCTTTTCTGATAAATCTTGAGACATCGGCTTGCGTTCTCAATGCCTCTAGGTAGCCTGCTACCTCACGCAGCACATCGCCTTCCATTTGCTCGGGCGTAGCTGAGAACTCTGGTATCTCCAAGAGGTTGTGTGGCTGAGCGCTCGCTTTGAGTGAAGAGTCGTCGATGAGTACCGTGTTGTGCTGGCCGAATTTACCAGCGCCAGCTTCGTAGTCAGGATGAAATGACTGGATTTGACTCCTGCTCCATACCAGTTTTAAGTTTTTGTAAACTTGTACGTTTTGCTGGTAGTTAGTCGGCGAGAGTCCGAAGCTATCACGGGCCCATTGCGCTACAAGTTTCGAACGGAGGTCGTTGTCCAAAGCTTGATTGACGAGGGCCTTGACATTGTCCGGTCTCGCACTAGACCACACCATAACTTTGAAGTTCTCAAAGAGGTAGCGCAGGAACGGCCTCAGGAAAGGGCGTTGTATCATAGTCTTGGCGTTTCTGTTTGGGCGGAAGAGAACCGTGCCGTTGAGATCTAGAATAACCAGCATTTGACCCGGTGTGTCCGTGGTGGTGGGCTCTCCAGCAGCCTGATCTAGATACTCTTGCGTGGGCTGCGGTGCAGGGAGCATGATCTTCTCATCACCATAGCGTCCCTTTTTTTCGGTGGCAGCTTTCGGGGCCTTGGGGGTACTGTGAAGTTTGTCAATCCGAGAGCACTTTGTTTCAAACGCAGTAATGCGGTGGAGGGTACCATACTCTTTCTGCTTAGCATGCCCATTGGCAGCAAGCCCAGACTTTGACTTCTTGCCTGGAGGAGTTGGTGCCCTGTGAGAAGAATTAGCCGCACGATTCTTGGACTTTAGACCCTTGAATAAGGCATCGAAAGCGTACTGTATGTCCTCGTTTCTTGCTCCATGTGGGAAATTTGCCTGCTGTTGCATCATGCCCGGGTAGGGCGGTCGGCTCGGGAACATTTGACGTTGCTGGTGAGGCATATGCGGCAGCCCGCCATGATGCGACTGGTGTCCGAATGGTGGCTGGCCAAATGGCGGCCCACGAAACGGCGGCTGGCCATGAAGCGGCATGTGTGGAGGCGGACGCCCAGCGAAAGCATCTGGCCCTAGGGGGAATGGGGGAGGAGGCGGTGGGTGGTTCGGGTGACCATTCTGTAGCATCCAGTGGTGGTATGCCAGCGCTTGTTGATAGCCTGCGAACTCAGCCTGCGCCTGCTGGTTGTTGAACATGTGCGGGAGCTGCTGGGGCGGTGGGGGCGGTGGGGGAGGCGGCGCAAATTCCTGGTTGAAGAAGCCATTGGGTGGCCCGTATGGTGCTGGAGGCCCTCCTGGTGGTGGCGGCTGGAAGGGAGGAGGCGGGGGAGGTGGAAGTTGTTGGTTCTCGAAGGTGCCGAAATTCTGCTCGCGACGGTCGAAGCCGCCCGGGCGGAAGGGCAGCGCATTCGGATTGAAGAATTCGCTCATGCTGGGGCTTTCGGAGGCAGTGAGCTTGCGCTCAGAGATTGTGCTGTCTCGACCTGTCTTGGTCTTTTGGTAGTCGGTGTTAGTGGAAGAAGTTGCGACTGGAGCGCAGTGGGGGATGCTGTACCGAGCTGATGCGACTGCAGCCATGGAGCACGTGCGATGGCGACAAACGCTCGACGATAAGTGAGGGGTGAGGGGTGAAGGGTTTGGCGAGGTGAAGACGCAGCGCACGAAGCATGTAGCCAGACGGTGTGAGGCTGTCTCGAGATTTGGGCGCAGTTGCCTGCTGTCGGGCTTGTCGGCGAATCAAACTCCCGGAGGCGGGGTCCACAAAAATGTTGGTAGACCGCGGCGAAGCAAGAGCGCGACAGGAATCGCATACGACCCAACACACCACCGCCACCACCACCCCAGAATGGTGCTCTCAAACAAACTCGACCGCACTCTGCGCGCGGCCCAAGACAGCTCAGATGCCGAGAGCTACTATGAGGTCACTGACCGCTCATCCTCTGCGTCGGTTATTGAAGCAGATGAGGGTGGTAACGTAATCAGCTCAGACGACGAGCAGCCAAGCGGTTCCGAAGACGACGACATGCAGTCAGATGCCTCGGACGACGACCAAGTAAAAGCGCAAATGAGCAAAGTCTCGTTTGGAGCACTAGCCAAAGCACAAGACGCCCTCTCCAAACAACAACCGGCGGATCGAAAGCGAAAACGAGGCGACGACGCATCAAAATCACAGGAGGACAAGCTCGAGGCATTGCGCGAGAGGTTACGGCAGATCAAGGCCGAAAAGCTTGCGGCCGGCGCACAACCCAGCAAGAAAGCGAAGACGGCCAAGAGCAAGAGCAAAGGTCAAGACAAACAGAAACCTCAAAAAGCCAGCGACAATGAAGACTCCGACTCCGATGCAGCTCCACATGCGCGCTCGAGCAAACACGCACCTGCCGTTCAGTCAAGCAAGCGCATGGTCTCACGTAAGCGAAATGTGGTTGAAGTGAAGAAGCCTGTGTTCCGTGACCCACGATTCGATAATGCTTCAGGGCCTCCGCCCGACGAGTTCGTGACAGGAAAGCGTTACTCTTTCCTCAACGACTACCGCGCATCTGAGATATCAGAACTACGTCAAACTATCAAGAAGACGAAGAACGAGGACGAAAAGGAGCGGTTGAAGAAGAAGTTACTTTCTATGGAGTCGCAGCAGAAGGCGCGCGAGAACAAGGAGAAGCTACAAGAAGTGGCGCGCGAGCACAAGAAGAAGGAGAAGGAGCTTGTCAAGGAGGGCAAGCAGCCTTTCTTCCTCAAGAAGTCAGAGCAGAAGAAGATTGCCCTAGTCAACCGCTTCGAGAATATGAAGTCGAAGCAGCGCGACAAGGTCATCGAACGCCGTCGCAAGAAGGTCACGGCCAAGGAGCGCAGGAACATGCCCGACGAGCGCCGCACTGCCCAATAGTACACCCACGCAAACTGCTAACGTTTGTAACCATAGTCGTTCTCAATTAAGGATACCCATTCAACATTTTCGACAAACTCGATGGGCGTCGTCTTTATATCTACTTCTGTGATTTCCCCTAGACGATGCTCTTTGACTGTGCTCCGAGCAATTGATGCATACAATCTAATTATCGTAAGTTGAGGCGTCGACTATCGCCTTGTCCGTAGTCAAGCACGGACAGGGGGGTGCAAGTCTAGATCGAGCTTTCTCCAGATCTGCACTAGCCAGGAACACATCACGCTTCTCACCAAACTATTTCCGCGTGACGCATTGTCCATTCGATACGCTACAAAGCGCCGCACCTATCCTTTACAGATCTGCTAAGTTGTCTTGGGTTAACATATTCAGCAATGCAGCCTCGTTCTTACGATGAGACCTATTTGGGACAAGTGCATGCCCGCGGCTTAGCGCTTCCGCAGAAAGCTCATACCTTCGTGGATTTGGATCCAGGGTCAATCCGCTTCAGTCGTGACTAAAGACCCTCTGCTGGTGGAGATGAGGGTAAAACTGCCTTCGGGACCCCCGAGTAGACTCGTCTGACCTTGTATGGCTTCAGCCATATTGAGCGCCACCAAGATGGTTTCGCAGCTGAATGTCTTCGAGGATATGTATATATACTGGCACTTCCATCTAGTCGAGTGATCACCCAAGTCTCTCGTTAAACCAGTGGTACAAACAAGTCCACATTCGGCCCAGAATCGGAAATCCCTATCACCATGCGTACATCTATCGCTTCGCTCCTGCTTTCTCTGGCAGTTGCCAGCTCAGCCCAGGAAGAAGTTCCTGGACTCAATCAACCCAAAGATACGGAGTGTGAGCTCATTTCACCAGTCGTCGATGGGCTGCTTGCCGTACCATCTGCCACAGAATTCTGTTCATCGCTACTCAGTATTCCCACTGTGACGGTCACTTCGCTCGCCGTAAGCACATTAACTGTGACCTCAATCGTGGAGACTCTCGAGACAACCACACTGCTGGCGACCTTTACAAACACGGACGAGACTTCAGTAACTGGAACTACTACCCTGACTGCTGACGCAGTCACAGTGACAGACACTATGTAGGTTACTCTCCATCAATACTAAATCAGTATGTGCTAATAACTTCAGAACTACCCAAGTCGATCTATGCCGTCCAAAGGTTGGAACTGTGATAGTCACAGTGACGGCCGAGGCCCCCGTCAAACGAGACTATGCGCATACGCTCAGTTCCAGTAGCACCTCATGTACTGCAAGCAAGAAGTCTACAAGCACTGTGACACCTTCGTCCACATCTACAAAATGCTCAAGCACTACAAGTTTATCGCTTGCGAAGCCCTCTAGCATGGCGGCATACCCATCATCCGAAGCGTTGAGCGCGATTCCAGCATCTTTCTCTGAATATCCGACAACTTCTCAGATATCCTCGTCTGATTATTCGAGTCTGATGGAGTCAGCGTACCCAACATCTTCGAGCGTTGTGGAAGTGTCTTCCACAGCAGTTTCGAGTCTCGTGGTGTCATCTTCCACCGCAAGTTCAAGCGCCGTAGAAGTTTCATCTACAACGACTTCAAGTGCTGTGGAAATGTCGTCCACCTCGTCTTCGGTCACTACCGAGCCATCTGCGACTGTATCTTCAAGCGTTGTCGAGTCATCCTCAACACCAGAACCTACACTCCCGGCCCCAACACTTTGCCCATCCGCTCCCTCAGGTGTCCAACAATACGAGTGCGCACAGATCTCCGCAGCCTGCTCTTGTCTCTCTCTCGCAACTTCCACCATCACCGAAGTGGTCAGCAGTACTGCTACGGAGGTCAGCGTGTCCACAACCACTACCTTCACTGAAACTGCCCTAACGGTTACCATCACATCGACTCAAGATATCGCTGCGACGGAGACTACGACGCCCACTACGACGATTACTGTAGTCGCGACCGCAACATCGACGCCTGACCTCATGAGCGACCCCAACAACTGCGGCGCCTGCGGCAACGTTTGTGCCAGCGGTTCATGCGCGAAGGGATTCTGCACAAACCCCACTTGTGCACCGTCATCTTGTTCCAAGTACGTCTACTGCGGTTCAGGTTGTATCTGTGGTGCTGTCAGTGGAGGCGGCGGTCTCTGCGTACCTGGCTCCACTTCTTGCAACAGTCCCACTTGTAAAGTGAACGAGGACTGTGCTAGTAACCAGCTGTGTGTTGTCAACACTTGCTGCAGAGGTGGAGGCGGTATCTGTGTTAATGCGGTGCAGACTTGCTCGAACGGGGCTATGCCAAAGGCGTTGTTTGTGAGGAGGCCAGCTGGAGAGACTGTCATGGGATGAGAAGTGGATAAGCACTAAAGCGGCTTTGCTTTATAATATTATTTTCTAATAGTGAAAGCGAGTTCCTTCTAAATAAACAGCGAACGTAACATGTAATTTAGCTTCATTGAAGATACTCCAAGACATGCACAAGACCAGTAGTTAGTTTGAATATCGGACATGTCTTCTTCTACGCGAGCCTAGAATAGAGTGCGTTGTTTCGACTCAGATGTCCCCGACCTTACCAATCATTTGTAGGTAAGATCTTGGCTATCTCTCTGCATGTACGGCGATGCTTTTGAACATTTCTACACTTTAAATTCAGCCCATAATGATGATGAGCGTAGGGCACAGTGGCTAAACAGCTGTATCATTATCGCTATGTAGCTTCCTGGAGGAGTTAACTGGCAATAGAACACACAGTGTTCCGAACCGCTTCTCCATATGATGCGCATACTCCCTATGGCCTTTGGTTGTTCTGCTAGATTCGTTACGATAAGGCTACCAAGACGTGTTGTCAACATTACCAAACAACATATGCACACAAGACACTAGAAAACGGGAGACAACGCGTAAGGAAAAGTAAAAAACGTGGAAACAAGACCAAGATGTTGGATCAATAAGAAAGATCCAGAATGCAGCATGAATTTCCGAGTCAGCTAGTATTGAGCACAAGCGACATACTGAGCAATGTTGATGTTTCAATTGCGGATTTAATACAAAGACTAAAAACGTACAAAAAAAGGTATTAAGACATTATCTTCTCTTTTTGAATAGAAAACCCAACAAGAGATGAAACGTCCAAATCCCCAAGATCCCAACGCCGGATATATCCTTCCTAACCCTACACGCGCAATGAACCATGCAAATTGAATCCAAAAAAGGTTAAAAAGGTAATAGGCGCGAAGAGACCCAGCTTACGCGCGAAGAGTGCCATAGTCGCCGTTAGTCATCTCATTCGGCATTTCCTTTAGACTGAACTTTGAAAAGTCCTTGACAAGGCCATTGTCCTTGCTCTTGAGATCATCCGCACCTTTCCCACTCTTCTGCTGTGTCGGCTTTGGGCGTTTGTTCTCGTTAGTCGGGCTCTCAACAACCGTATCATCGGTATCGTCGGCAGTCTCCTCGAGATGCTCAGCCCTCACGTCGTCATCAACCTCCTGCTCCGCCTCGTCATCCAACTTGGCAGTCTCCTGCTCCACATCGACAAGGTCCTCGGCCTCGGCGGGCTCCTCACGCGCATCAGGCACAACTTCCTCCTCGAGACGCCAGTCCTGGATCGCCTTGATAATGTCGACGGCAAGCTGTCCGTTCTTGCGGAGTGCCTTATCCCAGTGCGCTGGAATACCCTTTTCAACGACCATCATGCGGGCGACGGCGTGCACAAGCATGTGTCGCATTGGGCTTCCGTCTTCGGTGTTTGCGTAAATGTATTGCACGCGACGCAGACCGGGGTAGCTGTCGCTGTACTTGTACCATTCCCTAACCACTTGCAGGACGTCGGAGACGAGGCCGGGGATCTCAAACTTCTCGGCCATCAGGTACAGGTCGAAGCAGACGCCTAGGTCGGCCTCCTCGCGTGGGACGGGGAGAGAGGACGAGTAGAGCCAGCCGACGAAGGTCTTGAAGGGCGCATCTTCTTCTTCGGGGAGGCCGAAGGATTGTGTGCGTGATGACGAGTTTGATTTGGAGTAGAAAATCTTGCGGAAAAAGGGCGAGTGGTGGCAGAGAAGCTTTTCGTGGAGAATCCAGTGCGTGTTTTCGGGGCCGACGTAGATGTCGACCATTGAGCGGGAGAGGAGCCTGTGGTTGGTGTGTTAGTTGATGCGCGATGTGATGTAATCCAACCCCTTCCATGGCGAATGCGACAATGCGATGCGCCGTGTCATCTCATCACCATGGACGATGATGCGCGGCGCATTGGAAGTCATCACGTACTCATTGAGCGGCTTTTCCTGTGCACCAGACATGATTTCGGTGGTTCTTCTCGGTGATCAGCGACCGTTGCGATCGACTATCCGTTCCCGTCGGGTGGTATTGCGTGATGCGATAAACTTTCAACGTCCGACGTCGACAGTGCGCGCAACAAAGTATTAGTATGGTAGAATGAATGCAGATGCAAGTAGAAAGACCGATGCAGGACAAGGACAGACATGTGGCAGTGCCAACTTTTAAGACCACCATTCCCAAACCTGCACGGTGGTGCCATGCTCCCAGCCTCCTTGGCTCGACATATGACGTAGGTACTTTTTCCCTCCACCATGCGAAAAGAGAGACCTATGATGCAGCGTCTGCGGCACGCTTTTCCTTGAACTGCACCCCTGTTCCTCTTTCCCGCCCCGTCCCCCGCTTAGTTTTACCCGCTAGGCAGGCATTGGGGGGATCGAGAACACCTGAAATGCCACACAATGCAATTTCCAGCTAGCGATGCAGGTTTTAGGATCGGATTGGCGTTGCATGTCATTTCGCTTTTGGATTACGCGTGTGTGGAAGGCGCTGTGTTGGGAAAGGGGGGGCTGGAGGCGCGTGTTGGATTCGGACGGGATGCACAAGGGGAGGTGGATTAAGTAAGTGTGACGTTGACTTGTGGGGATGGTGCTGCCAGGCTTGTCAGTGGCCTGCGGTAGGCAATAGATTGACGAACCGTAGTTCTGTGAGTCTTTGGTACGAGCTAACTCTTGCATTCCATATCTTCTTGTGTCCGTCACCGTGGAATGGTTCTGCGCAATCTGACGCTGACCATAACTCCCAGATTCCCCATACACAGCTAAGCGACGACAGAATGCGCCCGTGTCACGAAGTATTGTCTCAAAACGCAGGGCAACTGTAGTATTGCTTTTTGCCAGACACACGATACTCCAGCCTCACCGCTGCGACAGCCTCGGTGCTTTGTTCTCGTGCTTTTCCTGCACCCCGACAGGCACTCCCCTATCAACTTCAACATCGTGATCACGAAAACACAAAACTGCTCGTCTAGTTGCGATTTCACAACACACCGCAACTGCCAACGCACAGTCTAACTCCCCAGCCTCGCAATGTTCGCATAGTTCAACATGCTCGTCCACTCAAGCCGCCTGTCGCAGCCTCGTCGCCCTCCCTACTGTAAGTACCAGGGCGACTTCAGTGCCAAGCGCTTCAACAGAGCTGGGTGCATTGGTAATGCGACTTGACGTCTCGCGTCTTGACATCCATTCTGATGCACAGTGTTGAGGGAGGCTGTCTAGACGCGTATTCGCGATGTTAAGAAGGGATCCTCTCCCAACCACCTTTACTGACTTACCTCTTTGCTTGACTTGTGGAGCCTCGTGCTTGAGTTACTCAACTCCGTGTCTCTCAAGTTGTTGCAAAGCCTTGGTCAGCGTCTTCGGCCTCTACAGTTGGCACATCTTGCTCGGTGATGCAGAGTCGCAGCACCACAGTCACTGCTGCGGTCCCGCCACTTTCTTCTTCATCACATGAATCTCAAGATTAAGAGCACAGAAAGCACCACGGCGTTTGCACAAGGCAAGACTTCCGTTGTCGTTGATGATGTGACATGTAAAATACATCGTCATTGGGCCGACAGTGCATCCGATCTCGACGATCTGCTGGTTGAACAACGACTTCCTTTCACATAGCCAATGTGCCAGATGCTTGCTACCACCGGAAGCTATGCTTCAGCTCCAGCTCGCCTGGCTCAGCCACCATCATTGTTAAAGGGACGTTGGGATATGAAATGAAAAGTCGACTGATTTGTCAGCATGTCGATTATTGTCCATCGATATAAACTGTGCATCTACTGCCTGTCATAACCTAGCCGCCGTGGAGCAAACTGCTAGGTCAGATGCACTGTGGGATATGTAATTGAAAAGCTCACGTATCAGAATTGGGTGTTGACTACCTCATACGTATCGTCTCACACAGTCCACTTCGAATGCTCATGTACGACGGTACACATAGCCATAAGGAGACTTATGAAGACTTTGGCTGTCACACTCTACGCCGCTCCTCGAGAAGAGAGCTATGGAGAACTGGAAAGGGCGAGAGCTGGAAACAGGCGTGGTGACACGTATACCAAGAATTCTTCTTTGTCGGATTCAAGTCGTAACTTCGTGGTACTAATCATCAATCTAGATCATTTGAGGTTCTTCTGATCTCTCTATTCTGTTCGTTGTTGGTGATACCACTAATTGCAATGCTCATACAACCCTCAAATCTCGAGGTATTCCGTAGGGAATGCGAAGATACATGACGATCTTGTGTGGTCAAAGAGGTATTCACGCTTCATATTCCGACGCTATCTTGCATCGTCGTTTGGGGTTTAGCAGATGCTGTTCTGATTCTCTTCGAGATACATCGACTGCTTCTTCAGGCTTGAGGGACCTCACACTACTAGATTGTCACATTGTACGTGCATTGGTGATTTTTGATACACAGCAGACCAGCATTCTAGTTTGCCGATTTCTCACGAGTCGCTGTAAGACTAAGAATCATACTCACCGCACTGTACATACCCCAAGGTCCACGTACGATCCCAACACATCATAAAAACATCGATGCCACGTCCACAGGTGGACCATACGCGCTTATCCTGATATCTCACAGTAGTCCATTCGTTATATACTCTCTCCATTACGTATCGTCGACGAACGCTGAAGTTCTATATGACGGGCATTAGTGCATGCAGTTTTTATAAACGTATATGTTACAACAGAGAAGGACCAGCTAACATGCGAAGATAGTGTCTTTTGCGAAGCGAATCGTAGCGCATAGTCATGGTTGTCATTGGGTAGGGAAGAGATGCCAATGCTACACAGTCTTGGACAAGGGATGTGGTGATATGGAGCGGAGTGGTGTAGCGTGAATTAGAGAAGTACTACCCAAAGACAATGGCGACCATTACGGTGTAATTGCACATGTTGAGCCGCTCAGATCACCGAACGCTTGCGCGCTGATCTCCCGGTTGCCGCAAGCTGCTGAACGCTCCGCCGAACGGCAACAACGTATTCGAGTCGGCTTCTCGGACGACGAAACTGGGGTGTTCCCGTTTATTCACTTTCCGGCTCTCTCCTCGCCAGCGATGCTCGTTCCACAATGGTGTCTATCTATTTTGTGAGCGAAATTCTCATGCAGGACACGACGCCGTGACGGCGGGCGATCCTGCAAGCGATCTGTCGTGTACTATAGATTACAGACTTGATCGATTCGGACGAACTGTAGCGCTGGGTGTTGGTGGTACCACGGCTACGTTACCGTCGCACTGAAACCGTTCAGAGCAAAATCTCCGAAGTTGCGTCGTGTCGTGCGTACATGCATGGCATCAATTGGAGGACGATGATGATGATAGTTCCTTCGGGATCGGCTACGCATGAAACATTTAGCTTCATAACAAAGAGTCAGACAAACGCCATCAGACCCTGAGAATCCTTCCCCAAGTCATTGGCAAGCCTCGCCCGTATTGCTTTTGTATGGAGGCACATGACAGAACATGATCTACGCCGCAGATCAAACACGCATCTTATCCAGCCACTAAGCCACACCGTACGCACCATGTGCTTCTGCGGTTCGATCCGAAACCGTCGAGCTGCATAGCGCTGCGCATCTTTCGGTACAACTGCGGAAGCGCGAAGGAAAGTATTGGTACAACAGTCAGATGCTCGCCGCAACGAGCGCATTCGGCTGGATGCGGGTGCTTGAACGTGAATTGGTAAACGTGGGACGGCAGATCTGCATTGACGCAATCGTCCCAGTGGAGTAGGTTGTACAGCTGTAGCTGTTGTACAGCGCTGCATCTGGGGAACGGATGTAGTCGGGAGGCGTAAGCCTAGCGATGTATAGGAAGGGGCGAGTAGATGTGCTGCGGTTGGTTTCTATGCCGCATGCTACAGGCTGTACACGTTGTGTGCGGGCCGCGAAGGAAGACGCTCAACAGTATCCTTGCGCATGTCATTCGCCGAAGGTATTGCTACTGACTGCCACCTCATCTCCTCACCAGTTTCTCACTCTGCGCGAGAATTTAGAATGTCGGACTCATTCCCGATCTTGATTCAACGACACTCAATAGCGTGCCAAGAGAGCATCTACTTGAGACTTATCCCAACAGATGGCAGTAATTGCTCATTCCCAACAGCAGGGTAATGGCACGCGTGCTAGAGTGCTACCACGGCTAGAGGTGATGGGATCACTTCCCGAAATAGACTCACGGGCGATCCTTTTCTTGATTGGATGGTGGTTGGGAGACAGCCCTATCCCGGTCGCTCGGTTGGATGCAACAGCGTGTTAAGCCCCACCAGTTCCATATTGGAGAAGCGATGGTGTGATTACCGCTTTTGGATGGGCTGCCTGAGATTATCCTGGAGAGCGTGTCGAGTCGGTACCTGATCGACCCTATAACGACTGGGGATGTGGAAGAATTGCAAAAGGCCGGCGGCTGAGCGGAGGCGGCAGACACGGGCAGTAGCGAGAGAATGGGAAGGAGTCGTCGAGTGTCAAGGGTGAAATGAGTGCACAATACCCTGCAGGCAGCTTCAGGGTTTTCCATGTGGTTAAGATGACTCTACAGTCGACCAAAACATGGTGGTAGATGGCATTGATGTGGCTCAGAACAAAGAGATGATGGACATTGCAGGAGACATTGCGGTGGTCGCCGAGGAGAAGCGACGGAGGGGTGCTAGCCGAAGCATATGGTTCATAGTATGAGGCAGTCGCGGTGGTATTGGTGCAACGGCGGAACCATGGCTGCAGAATCTACCATGGTATCAGGGTCTAGAGAATACACGGCATTGAGTCGTTTCTGCGTAACGGTCGGAGAATACTTTGCAGGATGTGACTCCGAGATGTGACTCGGAGGTGTCGGCTATGGTGTGTTTCAAGAGATGCTAAGCCGCGGCTCTTTGTTAGAGGTGAGTGACTGAGTGAGTGACTGAGTGAGTCAAGCAGGAAGGGGCAGCCTCCACTACACGATTGATGAGGCAGGCGTGATGTGGCAAGGAAGGAGCCATGTGACAGGCAAGGAGGTCGCAGAGGAGCAGTATCCCAGGACCGGGCGAACGTTGCCGGCCACGTGTGAAAGATGCCGACAAAGGACCCTGGCTCAGTGCGAATGACTAAGGGCAGGCGAATGACTGAGGGTGGTTGGCCCGACACGACTAGGGAGGACTGTGAGAAACAAACATCGACTAGCGCTATTGGAGAGCTGGCCTTGCTGAAACACGAGGCCATGAACGATGTTCCTGGCCAATTAATCCTCTTCCGCTCCGTGTCGATGGCATCTGCTTTGAGCGTGGTCAAACCGCTGATGCGCCGGCGTGAAACAAGTCGAAGGCTCGTCTAGGGCCGGCCGGCAGGCATGAGCTGGCTCGAGTATGATTGGATGCAGAGCGAGTATTGGCAATGGGCCTGTAACGCCTTGCCATGCACACGACGGCCAGTCATGGTGAGGCTGGCATGCGCGGCGTGGTGCACCAGGTCGTGAGGTCAGCTTTGCAAGTGGTGCGCGAGCTGAACAGGTGGTGAGCGGGTGGTGAAAGCGCGAGTCCTGCAACGACGGTGGGCATTAGACCATCACAGAGATTTTATCCATCTCGCACCATGGATGCCCGCCCGCGGATGCGAAACAGTGGGTTGCCCAGTGGCGTCTGTCTGGTGCAGCGAGCTCCCGCAGAGGGCGCGACCATCTGCTCGCCCTAGCCATCCCCAACTCACACTACGCATGGAGGGCCTGGCTCAGACGCTCGCTATAGGGCCGCCCATGTCAACCGCCCCCCGGCCTGGCGTCTGGAGGCACGTCGTCTACTGCATGCCAGCCGCTGTATCGCTCGACCATTCCCTGCCCGCCCTGTGCAAACACAAGTCTGTGCGAGCCATTTTTATCCCCTCCACACCCGCGCCCCAAAAGACACGACGTGTGCTGTCTCTCTCCGACGCCAGCCAGCGCTGCTTCTTGTCGCATTTAATTTTTTCTACCACTCCGCCCGCGTGCATATCCTCACGCATAACTCGCAGCCCGCACTCGGCCCCGGCTTAGTGTTGCACCAGCCTCTAACCCCCCCAGGCCTGCCCACATCCCTCGACACTTGGTGTAGCGGACTTCCTACAAGACCCTGCCACACTTCACTCCTACAATCTATCTGCCCCTCCCACCGAGCACAACACGGACGCCCACACGCGACCATGACCACCGTTGTCGCCAATCCCCCGGCCCCTGCCCAGCATGCGGCACCGGCGTCGGCAGACGGAGTAGGCTCCTCGAGGACATATGCTCCCATTGCGCCCTCTACTCTCTCTCCCCACCAAGTGACGCCCAACTCTCGCTCTAAGCTGCCACCAAGAGAAGATGCTTCACCTACCTCCTCCAGCCCAGGTGCACAGCACAGAGCCGAGACAAAGCCCTCACCTCTTTCGTACGTCGTTTAGTCTTTCTTCTCGATCTTCTTCCTCATCATGCCGTCCTCCTTCGGCCTCCTCTCCCACCTGCACCTCCATGTCTCCTCCCCACAGAGATATCATGTCACTCATGTCTAACCGTCCCTCCTCTCGCAGGTCTCGTGGCCCTGTCCCCAAAGTCGTAGTCAAGAAGGAGCCCACATCGCCAGACATGCCCACCACCACCAGGCATCGGCCCCAGCGCCTCAACCTCGCCAACCACAACATTGTCCACTCGTCGGGTGCCCTCACGGCACGACCCTCGGGCCAAGGCAGTGCCCACCTAGGCCTCCACGATGTTGGCATGGCCTGCCTCTCACCTGGCTTCCACACCCAGGACCCCGGTATGCGCGAGCAGCTGCAAAGAAGCTTGGATGTAAGAGAACGCCAAAGGCAGATCATCGAGGCGCGCCAGAAGGGCGGCAAGAGCGGACCATCCGAGACAGAAGACACACGGGGCACAGAGATTGGTGCTTTTGGACGGACAATCAAGACACCTCAAACCTCTCGCCGGAAGGGCCCACCGCCCGGTCTTTCCATTGCGCCTCCTTCACATTCGTCCTTCTCCAACGACCGTGTAATCCAGTCAGCGCCCATCAACCAAACCTTTACTGGTCTGCGCGGCAATGCACCACCCTCACGACAGCTGGCCAACGGCCCGTCAAACCTGTCGCAATCATCACACATCCACCATGTACCGGCACAGCAAACCAACAACCGGTTACCCCCCATCTCAGACGTCTTCCCAGAGCCTCTTGGAACAGCGCGGAACCCCTACCATCAGAACAGCCCAGGACACTCATCGCATTCTAATGTCCAGCCCCCAATGCCATCACCGAGCTTCCCGCCCCCACAATTTACACAGCCGCCCCCAACATCAAGACCCCGAGAATACAAGTCCGCCGAGGAGGCTGTTCAACAACTATCCGGGGGTCGCGAGGATCTTCTGCCCCGTCTGGTCCATTACGGTGGTCACCAACCCCCAACACCCCCCTCGCCAATGCCCAAGAATGGATCGTCAGCATATGCATCCAGGCCTGATCTGCACCGAAGTGGCAGCTCTCGGAGACGCGGCCGCGACGAATACGAACAAGACAACGGTACCCCGCCGCTCGGTCGCCAACAACCACGCCTCGGTCCCTTTGGCGCCGGCCGTGACTCACCAGAAACTCAACTGAAAAAGAAGGAAGAATTCATTGGACTGTGTGCAAGAGCTTGGGATCTGTTTCACTCATGATGATACCCGGCTTCGGCTTTGACTCGATAATTACTATTCAGCGACAACTTGATCTTATTTCTATCCTACGGCGCATCATCACTCTCGCTTCAATCATTTCGCTTCGATTTCTCAGCAGGTCGTTTTGAACACTGCAACTTATTACCCCTTCGTATTCGCGCATTATTGATCTTCGATACGTTTTTGTAAAAGCGCCAGCAGAAGCAGCCTCGCAAGGGGTATGCAGGGTTATACCCAGACACACGCACCCACCACATTTCCATATGTTATTCCTTTTTATTACTATTCTCAAACTTTTAAGTTTCGAGTTTATTTTGGGAGAGAATCATTCATCATGTCCATATGAGTTTAAGGGATGAGGGCATTTATTCGACAGGCAATGTTTTGCTATACGTGGCTGAGGCCGTCTTGAAACACACAATGTCTCATGATCATTCTCACTTTTACCATTATTTTTTTTCTCGTTCTTCTATTCCACTGAAACCCCGACCTGTTTAGGCGGTGGATCTTTTTCTGTTTGCGACATGCGATGTGGAGGAGATACCTTTTTCGACTTTTGTTGGGGTGTTAATCTTGGTTCGAGCAAACGCAATGTCTAGTGGATCTGCAGAAAGGCAGGACAAGTTGAAAAAGTAGCGCTCACGCACAGTGACGCACTTTACCCTAAGTGCCGTAACAATAAGAATGTTCATCTTTCATACTATGATGGCTTTTGAGTCTGGACCCTGACAACGTGTTCGCGTGCATGCATGAACAACACTTCACTTGGTAGCGTTGCGTCACCAGACAGACTACTAAAATTCATTGGACGATAGCAGCTTATGTTTCCGATTGTGTAGTCGGTCTGCTTCGGAGTCTAATTGACAACGCGCAACAAAAACAATGCATGGAGGATAGCTTACAGCACATCACAACCTGCCGAGAGAGTACGCAGTACACAAACTCCAACGAGATCAGCCTCGCAGTGCGTATCAATCATGTCTACTCCATGCAATATCACCAATAACAGCAATGACGCAGGCATGAGTAAGCAAGCCCAAAACACCGACCGCGTCATTATCGACTACCGTGATTGCGATAATCATCGTTCGCATCCTCCTGTCCATCTCCATCTACACTTTCCCATACCCACCCCTTCAAGTAATCATCTACAACAATCCTATACCTGCCCCGCATAGTGACTCCCAAGGCGGCCAAGCCGGTCGACCCAACCGTTGATCTGTTTACCATCCTCCTGATTATCTCTGGTTGTCTACCAGTAACGACGGGAAAGAGTATCCGAAGCTGCCGATCAGCGTTCCGTAACTTTCGTCAATCGCCAATCTTTGAAGATCGCAAACATGCTGCCTTATGTGACAGATTGATTGGTTTCGATCAGCAGAAAAGACTGAACAGGCGGTATGATGAACAGCATTGAAAAGCCATATCCAGCCCTATGTAACAGATTGAGTATTGGGTCTCTGGTAGAGAGCGGGATCGCGGTCACACGACCAACGGTACAATCAAGAGTACGGTATGATGAGACAAGACGGGAGGACTTCGGGGGAGACAGCACCCGCTGGCCGACGACTGACGATCCGGTCTTGGTTGTTCGGAATGTTGACGATCACAAGCAAGTCGGCTATATGCAAGACCACCGAGAACTTCATCTCGTGCGCGCGCACCTTTTCTCCGTCTCGTACGCGTTGTTTGTCCGTCTAGCAAAACATCTTTCATCTCGCCAGCATCCTAAATCAATAGTCTAGTATCCATCAACCTTCTTATTCCAGACACCCCAAGAGACCGGTCCAAATTGCAGCGACATCAAAGGATCGCGTGCGCAGGATCGCGGAATTGAAGCCATTTGCAATTTTCCACATGATCTTCACCAGGATACTGGCTGGGGTGGTGGGCTTTGTCTTCAATTTATCCTAGCACACCTAGCCACGCACGGTGTCCTTTTCGCATCATCAACTTTCTCGCTAGACCCGGTTCTCACCCTAGTTGGTTTCGAAACAAACGTCGTTACCTAGCACGCTTAGTGACGCAGGGACCAAAATTGTGCGCTGGCAAGGATATGCAAAAACATGAAACAGCCGCTTCTTAGCTTCGGAGGTGGGAGAGCATAAGATGAATTGAGGCGTTGAGGGATGAAGGAGGAGGATCAAGGGAAGACGCGAGATGAGGGAGGATCGCGTGGGTATGGCAACGCCACGAACATGCCGCGTGTGTGTGTGCCGCGGAGTGCTGAAGGCGGAAGGTAGAGGAGTTGATGAAGAGATGCCGCGTGTGTGCCGTCGTGGCTAGGAAGGGAAATGTACGCGGCAGATGTGACGATGATGATGGCGTGGCGACGCGGTCGTTGAGCAACCATCTTGTTCCATAGCGGGAAAAGCGCGTGATGCGCGTGCTGCGCGATGGAAAAACGTTCGTCCAGGCATGGTATTGTCACTGGACAGGGTATGGTGCAAAGCAATCGAAGCTTTTTTAGGGAAGGGATACGTCGCGTTGTCACCGCTGTATCGGGCCTCGTGACCGCTACATATTGTTTTGAAATCTAACTGGGACGATGCGATTCACTGGGTTTGAACAAGGGTGTCCCCACTTGATTCTACATTATTGCTGTTCTGCTGACTGGTTGACAGGTGGTGCATTCCATCGGTTCCTTACTCGGAGCGCTGTCGGTGCTACACATGTCAGATCTGACGATGCAGATGCGCGCGTGTGCGTGGAGACTCACAACACGGACCGCCCAGTGCTGTGGATTTTCAATAGTCTGCTAAGATGGAAGTTTGCGTGCTGAAAATTGTTGTGATGCGCTATGCAAGGACTTCATTGCGCAACGCGTTCGATGGAGTTATTGAATCGCGCGTTGTTCGCTGGGGGGTTCGGTGGCCGATGTAGGTCCTTTATGTGTCGGAATTTCCCTGCGTACAGCATACGTAGAACGTGCGTTTCGCTTGTCCGGTTGACAGCCGACGAGCTCGAGCGCGCTTGAGACGGGGTCAAGGCGCAGGTCCAGCTTCCGACCGATGATTAGCACGTGCTTCAAGGCGACTTCAGGTGGCATTGTTGTGTGCTTTCAGCAAGGCAATGACTTCCGATACACTTTCTTCTCCGATCCTTTCCACCCGAGGGTATATCCGAGCGCATCTTCCCCCACATAGAGAGCCATATGGATACCGGGACTTGCGAATGCGTCGTTGATCAAGGAGAACCCGAGGGTCGACAGGACGAGGACGTCGCAAGACTTTTGCCCTTTGGATATTGTGTTCTGTAACGATGGCCCCTAGTTCGAGCAGAAGCTGGACCATCGATACCAGCGATTCATCGATAGCCACATTCAAGGCACTGTCACTGACACAGGCTCCGTGTTCAGCAAGATATCGACACAATCCCTCGTTTTCTGTCCGTACGGCATGCATCATCAGCGTACACCTCCAGTGCCGCTCACGACACACTGTTGAGAGCCTCGGTGCAACGCGCGCGTTGTACTCGACTAACATGCGCATTATGTCCAGACGCCCTTGCTTTGCGGCCTCTTCATAGCAGCAAGTCGTCTGAAAAGTGTCAAGAGCCGGCCCACGATCCAAGAGTAGACGAACGATTTTCTCGTTACCGCCTTTGACGGCTCGTTCAAGCGGAGTCCAAAATCCACTTTGAATGCCTGTCACTAGGCTTCTCCCATGTTGGGTGCTTGTCACTAGCCTTCTCTCCCCCTGTACCGTCAGCGAGACAGAAGCTCCGCGATCCAGAAGCCATTCTGCGACGTCAGCTCTCTGTGGGCTACTCCATGCGACGATGCGCAGAATGTTGCTGTACTCAAAGCAAGTCTTTGTGAGACGACGATCGCCTTGTCTTCTCTTCCCGAGACCATTGTTGTTTTTCAATTGGGATGCCAACAGTTGGAAGAGCTGAGAGCAGAAATCGACCGATCGGCTTCTCAACACTCCTGAGCATATTGCAACCTCACCCAAGTCGTATCTAGGGCCAAAATCTGGTGAATGTTTACATAGATCCATGACAAACTTTACGACATCCAAAAGACCTTTTCCAACCGCAGTATCATAGACTAGTCGTTGAAGTACATTTTGCCTTGGCTGAACATTTCGCCTTGCCTGAACATTTGGACTTGGCTGAGCATTTGGATTCGAGAAGATCTTTGCGAGTAACACCAAGTTACCACACTCGGCGGCTGTCGCGGTGATATTGTGATTGCACAGATAAGCATGACGACACTCGGACTCGACAATATGCGAAAACATGTCGTCCACAGCTGGGTCATTGAGTGCAGACCTGATTCCTTCTTGACAGTCGTTCACCAGGGCCATCTCCAGGAAACATAGTGGACCACTGAACGCACAGGTGTTGTATCGCCTGCCGTTCATACGTGCCCCCTTCAATATGCGCCCCGGGTGCGAACAAAAAGCATAAATATACCGCTTCAAAACCTCGTGCGATATCTCTTTGCTCCTTTCTTCGGGGTGGCTCACTTGAAGAAGACGCTCGGCAGCGCGGTATATGCCTCCATATAGCTCAATTTCACATAAATTCTCGTTGCTCTTTCGCTCAGAAGGGCTCATCTGACCAAAGAAATGCCGGCGGGCGTCATAGGGCATATCTTGCACAAGGCGTTCGGTAGCACGACATATGCGTCCATCTAAAATGGTGTCGTCCCAGTTCTTCTGCATGATCTTATATGTGAGATATGGCTGCCAAAATGCATCGAATCGAGACTTCAATTCTGGCTTTGTAAACGACCAGGTCTTCCGGTAATCGTCCAGTATATGGGACTGATAGAGCGCATTCTTCACTTCTTGAGAGAACTCCTCTGTCGAAGTGTCAGCATACTGCAGTGCTGCAATCACAATGGCGGAATGAGAGGGCGTACTATTCACAAGCCTTAACCTCAGCCCGCGCCTGAGACCGCGGACACTAACGGCGTGTATGAGAATTTCGCGTCGTGTCTCCGCCGGTAGATCAGAAAAGTTCGTCATGCTAGAAATATCGAGGGTTGTTGTTGAAAATGAACGAGAAGAGGTGGCGGGCAGAACCTGGGGTTGCGCCTTCCGTATTGCTTAGCGCTAGGCTGGTTCTGTTCCAGGCAACAGGCAAGGCCACCCGCAACCACAACATCGAGGAAGAGGACACAGATTTCGCATTGATGATAGGATACTGGTATAAATTGTGGATGGCGCTTCATACCAGTGTCTCATCATCAGGAAATACATTTCAGCACACCAGTACATCATGGAGGCACTCAAGTCTTTTGCTTCGGCATGTTTAATTGTTACTATGCACATCAGACAAAATGTACATAGATGTTGTCGTACAACTCACGCTTGGACATTGTTGACTTTTCTCATGGACTCACAGCTCATTCGGTACTTTCGCTTCCACAATCTCTGTCTTCCAGTCCCTTCGTGGGACTCGCAGTCGAGACGCTCGTACCTCGAGCCCTCGAGATATGACTCTGCACTCCATTCTCGAGTGGCTGAAGGAAGACGTGCGTAAATACTTTAGCTCGGTGTCAGTGTTTGCTTTCTCGAACCCTGCTGATTTCGACGGTATGGTAGGACATGGGCTGAGAAAGATGCTTTCTAGAGAATCCGGATCAGTCTCGTATAAGTCTAGGCATGGTTGTTTCAACCTTGGACATCCAATAGCGATCTTCTATCGAGACATTCATCACCGTATCAGCATGCGCCGGTGGCCTAGACGCATGGCCATGTATGTGCACCAGCGACAGTAGGCGACTGATGATGAGTGCAGTGTAATGTTACCGTAAGAGCAGCGTTTTGGTTCTCACTGACTAAGTATAGGTGAGCCTCACGCATTACGCTGCAAAGAGGAGCAAAAAGTGATAATACAGCGTCTACCACTTTTACGCAAGCTCACTGAGCTGAGTCGTCCCGAAAAAAAAGAGCACCGTTGCATCTTGCTGCACCTTCTACGGACGAGTGCCGGGAGACAAAGGACAAAAAGGCAAAAAGAAATTGAATGTGAAAGCTCTCCAACTGGGAATTGAACCCAGGTCTCCCGCGCATTTGTCAAGAGCCCGAAAGCTGGTATGACAAGCGGAAATACTGACCACTATACTATTGAAGATTGCTGATTGGATGGAAAAAAGTCGACAATAGATCTATATATTGCCATTATTCGCAGCGTAAATGACACGGGGCAGCTCTCCAGCAGTTCTTTCGAATTCGGTCGTTGGCGGTGGGTTGTGAAGAGAATTTTTCGAATGTGGTGTGGAGACAGTGGCGGAATAGGGTCCTAGTGGGGCTATCCTACTCTTCCAATAAACGCCTACCCATCAAAGTAGATAAGCAGAAACGTCAAGTATATTCATCTCGATACGATCACGGAATTTGCTCCTATCGTTTCTACGCTCCTGATTTTAACGGCCATGACAACGATGCGCGCACGTTTGCAGAACTGATTGACAGGAGAAAGTTGCTGAGATTGTGGCCGTGGTATGTTTTGTGATAGAGTTTTAGTATATCTGAAACGTCTTCGCTACGTCTTACCTCATGAGATGACGAGGTCAGAAAAATCTCCAAGTAGCAACCGTCCGGAAGATGGGTGTTATAGACATGAGGTTATGCGGGGTCGATCTTTCGGGAGGGGTCCTTATGTAATCGAACTGATCTAGCATCCTCGGGTAGCTCACACCCCAACCTCGTCACGTCCAGTGATTCTCCTCGCGTGGCTGATACGATCTTCACGCGCTACATGAGATATGCCCCGTTTTCCCCCATGATGTGCACTCTTCGCTGGCGTTACAAGTAGCATCTCACGCGCAAGAGCTTCAGAAATCTCACCACGCTTCACCACATTGCCCTGAGGCTGGTCACAACGGATCGAGCATCCAAGCGTAGGGGCGCGATGATCACGTCACATATTGGATAATAAGGAAGAAGCCTGGCAGCGTCACAGCTTGAAGGTAAGTATGTGGAGGTCTATACTAATGAAAGGGCTGAAGTTGCCTCGCAGTAAATGTTAAAATCCTCGATTCTCCAACCGCCTGCGCGCGGTCTGGCGGCCCCTCACATACGAACACCCCCTTTCATCCCACGACTCGCGATACGTATATAAGCGAGCGAAGGTGTAAGTGCAAACCATCTTGGCTCATCATCCCTATACATACCTAGCGATCATGGACGCAGTCCGGGCACATGGCTTCCACGGTCGCCCGGTGCTTGACCGGCCCACGGAGTCCCTGTCAAATAGGTTTAGTATCGCACCATGAATTCACCAGATCATACCCGAGATTCAAGTCAAACTTCCGCTATACGAAGCTCAATCGCGGATGCAAGCAGCCAGATCGCTCTATGACTTTACTCCAGTGCCGCAATACGGTAATGGAGTGTAGAGAGCATCGTCTCCTAATCATGACTTCTTAGCACCGAGAATGTCTAGATTTATACTCCATCATCAAAACACAGCAAGGTTGTGAAACGAAGCTTAGCTGAATGTGTTCCTCTAGGTGCGGACAGCACGCTGTACAGCGGTGAAAGTCCTTCATATCTAGGTTTGAATGTATATATGTTCACTGTGCACACACACCCCGACTACCTGCTATATAACCAACTCCTCGTAGCGACCTTTGCTCATCTCATCAACCAAAACCAGCAGTATCGTACGCCACACAGAGTAAACTACCACCAATCATGGCTGCCACATCAAATTTCACGACTCTTCCCCCCGAGTTAAAGGCTGAAGTCTTCACCTGGATTCGTACAAAACCGGAACGTGCAGTCGTTTGTCTTGTAAGCCGTGGATGGAGAGATATCATGGCGCCTATTGTGTGGAAGGAACTCACACTGGATCCCAAAACAATCTCGACAACTAAGCTGACAACATTGATGCTTCCCAACAGTGGTATACTTCCTCACGTCCGCCAACTCATTGCCGATTGGGAACCGTGGTGGAACGAAGATCTGAGCCATGATTTCCACGCCGCAGTCCAAGTCGTAATCGCAACAATACCGAAAAACAGGCTACTCGGTTTTACAAGTAACATGCCTTTTGAGCCGGCCTATCTACTCTCTCTGCTTCGCAACCAGCAAAGGATGAGAAATCTCGATATAGCTTTGGACAAGCCAAAGATAAGTCGTTTTCCCATTGATTTCGGGATCACCATGCATCGATCGTTGGCCACTACTGCGCTACGTGGATTGACAAAGCTCTGGGTTCGCATCGGCTCCGGTGATCACACATACCGAAACAGCGCATACATGATTAGATGTGCTCCAAAGCTTCGCGACTTGTCTATTGACGGCGACGAAGATGAAGAAGGAAACAAGGCTTCTTTCGATACCTTACTCACTTGTGAGGCCCTCGGGGGATTACATGCAGATAACATAACCGTACAGCAACTTCAGCTCTCACGCTTCAACCTGCTATACCTCGACTTGGCGACATCCCATGTTGATAAAGCATTTGTCTACATAGATTTTGCTTGCCTCCAATCTCTTTCACTATACTGTTGTCGCAACGTCGAACCATTCCTGACAGCACTCGCAACACGGCAATCACTGGACCCTAGCCTAACTGAGATTGATATATTAATGAAAGGCGACGTGCTAGAGAGCGATATCCGAGCGATTGAGCATCTACTAAGGATCTCCTCTGGTGTTCGAACTATCTGGATAGATGTAGGGAAAGCAAGGCCTGTGGACATTTCGTGCATCGCTCGACATGGCAGTACATTACAGCATCTCGGACTGAACATCGACGCGGAAAATACAGCATCATATTACTCTGTCGCCGATCTATCCACCATCTTAAAATCAGCTCCAGGCTTGACTCAACTGGCTGTCTACATCTCTCCCATAGAGATGGGTTGGTCAGGGTTACTCGGCACAGATTTTACCCTTGATGTACTCGATAGTGGTGATACTAGTGTTCCCAATGCCTTGGAGGCATATCTAGTAAGTCATCGTATCTTCATTCTCTTAAACTTGGTTGACTAATCTGATCGTAGGATTGCATCGCACGCCATCGGTCTCTGCATACCCTGCAGATACTCTCGCTACCAAATATTGACTACGACATGTCACCAGATCCCAATCCCACTCTGCAGAACCGACAACCTATTTACAACATCACGGTGCCGACCGCGAGTTTGATGATGCAAAAGCTTGCTGCTGAAGTCATGTGCTTCCTTCACAAGCTCAACTCCCACATCACATTACTTGGGCTCTGCCCACTTTATAATGAATTTGAGCAACCGAAGGCTGATCACAATGGTCACAAATGGCCGAGATACTACTACATCCGTGGCCGTATCTCGGATCCGACGGGCAGAGAGCGTTTCACAGCCGTTCCTTTTGACACTGACAATCTGCCGGATAGCTCGCTGTTGCGCCGCTACTGCGGTGGTAGTACTAGTTGGTAATACAGTCTTCCTGATAACCTACACTGTTTCGGATTCATCTGTCTAAAGTTGGTTCTTAAAACTAGTGGGCACATAGAAATATGTGCCGGCGTAACACCGACTGCTGTCGTCATCTGGCTGAACCGCTCGATGTTCAGTCACTCTCACGTTACGAGGATGCGACAGACTTTGGTCAGAACATGACTGAGAGTGTTGTGTCGGCTACGAGGTGTGTGAGGAGCTGGACAGGTACTACGGGAGACGTATAGCGGGATGAACGCTAAAGATAAGGTGTCTTGTCGCATATGAAAAGCGATCGTGCAGAGGGTATGAATCGGGTAATAGTGACTTAATGCTTTCTCGGGTACTATTCTTCTTCAACATCTCAAGCTCTCGTTCATGATTCCACCTCCCTTCGCGAAATCTCCAATGTCTTCTTCAACATTACGCGCAGTTTAGACGCACATCTGCAAACTAGTTAGCACATATTACGCGACGGAGCATGAGCTTACAGTTAGCAAATAGCGTATACGAATCTGCATTGTTCAGCGCCTGCTCGGTCGAAAGCTTAACCGAAGCATCATATCCATATGCCAAATCCTGCGTGCTTGGGCTGTAAACGCTCGAAGCGTGCGTCGTTTCATGCAAAATCGTAGTTCCTCGATCAAATGTTTTACATCCCGTCGTAATCGGGATGGTGTTAGTGAAGAAGATTGGACAGTACGTGATGGAATTCAGCGTAGGCAAAGTGTACGCGACTATGCTTCCCCCCGAGCAGAAGCTGTACTGGTCTGTACAGTACGATGTCGTTCCTGGTGATGAGGTGCCACAGTCCTGTGCAACTGCGCTCATTCGAGCAGAGACCTGGTTCCTAACGCTTGTTGATGTTGATTTGAAGAAAGTCCCTAGCCTGCTGTCTCCGGCTGCGGCTGCCGTCGCGGCACCAGATGCCAGCTTTTGGCAATTCGATAGTGCTGTCCTAAGGTTGGTAAGACGATCACCAGTGCAGCCTGAGTCGACGATAGTACGTTTCGCTAGTGACTCGCGGGCGGCAGCCGCCTTAGTACCATCAACAGAGATGCTGAGTCTATTGGAGTCGTATCTCAAAGCGCCTACAAGCTCGGTGGAGGTCCCGTTGGCGTACGGTAACACGCCGTTGGCGAATACGTCGAAGCTTCCACCGCTGCTCAGGTCGCGGAATGCACCAGTCTCGACGGCAAACTCTCTCTTGCCCTTGGACTCCAGCATGAGGAAGTCATCGGCAGATAGGGCACTTGGATCAAGCTGAATCGTGACACCCTCAAACGGCACCCTCGTAGCTAAGTGTTTGTCAGCGACAACTCATTCGGCTAGTATGACAGTGTGAGGACAGCCCAGTCTTGAAGAGCCGTGGCTTCTATAGAGGCGCGGATGAACGAAGTATTCAATGTGGTCACTCTTGGTTAGGGTAGTGAGAAATGAACTTGCCGCTTACAACCACTGTTAGAGTACAATGTGACCCGCTCAACAGGTAACGTATCGTCCAGAAGGGTTCCGGTGCTGAGAAGGTTCAAAGTGGTGTCACCGGTGTTGGTAATGACTACCTTAACCACCGTGTTCTCCAAAGCGGTCAGCTGAACATTGAGAGGGTCTTCTGTTTGAAACAAATTGACGGAAGCGGCAATAGTGTATGAAGACAAGGCCAAGAAGGCGACCAGTGGGCTGGCAAAAAGCTTCATATCAGGAAATAAGCTGAGCAAAAGAACTAGACGAACCGATAGAAAGAGTGTGAACTACGATGTCGCATTGAAACACAAGAAGTCTTTATAGCGCAATTCTCACATGTTGTTGAAGAGGCCTATGCAGCAAAAGCCATTAATGTAGAGCTTGCATACGAAATCCTAGAACTTGATCCTACCGATTGGAATCTTACTAGGCAATAGAATGTGAGACAACAGTGAGCTGGCTCTAGTCTCGTAACCTCCACTACTGTGCCTCCTCATTGCATGAGGCGTAGCAGCTCATGAGGTAGAGTCTTACATATCCACGAGTGGTAGAAGAGGAAGCAAACGGCCATCCCACGCTTCACTCCACACCTAATATATTTTGACTGTTTCTGGCGAATTGGCCGATGCGCATCTAGCATGCGTTCGTGGAAGGTCATGTTCGTGATAAGTGCTAGACTCTTTGGCAGCAGTTTCCAGCAGGTAAGAACGATACTGGATAAGGAAGTTACAAATGCAGCCAGTCTTCGGCTGCATTCCTTTGCGTTGCCCGTTCATCCGGGCGTTTAGCGATTTGGGAGCGGGGACCGAAGCAGGCCCAATGACTGCATCCTTGACTCTCAGGCATAGGGAGGCGAACTCTCCCCTATCAGCTCCTATAGTGGTTGGTCCAGACCTTTGCACTCTTCGGTGGTAAACACAATAGGAGAAAACGGCAACGCTGCAAGAACTGTGGGGAACAATAGATGCGTTAGCGATGTTCATGCAGAACGTCGGGTGCCTACGGCAGCCTCGAACATTTTGTATCAGTTGAAATCTCGAAAAAGGCCATGTTATTACGTACTACAGCCGCTCGTATTAGAAAGATGTAAGGTTGCCCAAGAAGAAGCCAAACATATTGAGGGCTTCAACCACATGACGTCAGCGGGGCAGATTGCAGAAGGGCCAACTACTGCGAGGAAGCACTCTGTTTCAGAACCTGATCTGATAGATCCAGCGCATGTATAGTCTTCGACTTGGTGAAAAAGGGACCAGTGCATATGTAGGCTTGCCCACTGTCCCGTTACCCACGAACCTGTTCAACTCGAAATCGCGCTTTCCACTGATGCACTCTGAATCCAGGAAGTAGTTCAGCTTCAGTGGCACATTATACATACTTATATGTACTTCTCATGCACGCATATTGCGACTTTAGTGTTCTCAGAAGTGTATATCAGAACTAAGAGCATTCACGATGTTGTCCAGGCAAGGGAGATATATACCTTAGCACGCACCTTCTATACTCTCCTTTCAGGGTTCTGTTGCCTGCCTTCTACGAAGCACATCAAGGACCAATGTAGAATTAATGAAAGCCAGAGATTGTGATTGAAATGGTGAAATTCAGAAAGATTAAACAGTTAGACTACTTCAATAACGATCCACTCTTTACTCGACAATAGTCACCGCAGTAGGTGTGACATCAAACTCCTGCTCAGGCGCAACAAACTGGTTGTAGATCGCCTCGTGAGAGCCAGTGAAGTTGTATCCAGTTCTGCAAGTCCATTCATTAGTCACATGTTCACCTTTTCTTGAGAGCAGCAAGAAGGTACAAAGAAGACTTACGTGTTCAACGGTTCGTAGGGAGCCTTCTCAAAGCTCAACAAGATCTGGTCTGGAGAGCCACTGGTGTCGCTAGTCCTCTCGCTGAACTTTGCAGAGACGCCGTTGTTGACGCCCTCCAAGATGCGGCAGGGTGCGTACCAGTTGCCCTTGCGGTACCAGCCGTTCTCATAGCCGGAGCAGTATGCCTTGACACCGAGAATCTCGCCCTCGATGCTCGGTACCGAGATGTTGAAGTCATAGTAGCAGCCACTGCGTGCGCAGCCGGCTGACCACCCCTCGACGTGCCACGTCCAGTTGGAGGGAATCTTCGGTTGCTCGGTTTGGGTGGTGGGGGCTGCGATGGCGCCGGCAGTGAATGCGAGGAGAGTTGTGAAGGAGACCATGTTGATGGATTTGGTGTTGTGGGTCGGCAGGTTGTTATATATGGGAGGTTAATGTGTTGTGGTAAGCTTCTGTTGGGTCAGAGTCTGGTTATGTATCAAACAACTCTTCGAGGGTCATCTGCCTCTTATACTAGAGTTCAACGCATCGTGCGGAATTTGTTTCCATGAACGACATGTCCAAGACCCGAGCGTACCGACTCCTATTGTTCGTCGGATATTTGGCCGCGTAAGGTGTCACTGGTGTATCCAAGCGTGCCACCGAAACGGCCCGCAGGCTGCCGATCTCAGTTGAGGTGCACCCTTGGGTGATCAACCTGCGCCGTTGAACCCTACCAAACGTCATCCCATATACTAGTAGTGGCGCAAATACGAGGCTGGTGCTTGGCCGGTAGGGCTTAACGTCGGAGTAATGAGTTGGTGTCTTATTTTTGGAGCTGGTGCCCATTGTACGAAGGAGCTAGTTCCCCGGACAAGACTCGGACCCTCTGCGCTTACGTCATTAATCGTACATCTACATCATGGCGCCTGCTAGAAACATCTTCATATCTTTTCGCACCGCGTTGTTCTGTCCGTCACTTGAACCACGAGCTGCATGTTGAGGCGAAACACGATGCGCCTTTTTTCTTCTCTCTCCAAGTCGTTTTAGTGCGGCATTCTATGGTCGACTAACTGACTAGGCAGGGTAGTACCTCACTGCGTCTACAGCTGGCAGCGGCTCGGAAGAAGGATGTATCCGGCCGGGGAGACCTTCAGGTTTTGATATGCTGAAGAAGTACACATATTCAAGCCCGTGGGCAGTCAGTGATTTACGTTGAGGCAGCCTTGATCAGACATGCACTCGGCATACGACTATAGTCCTGAGCAGATATACAATCTTGGTTGAGATTCTTCGAACTCTACGAACTGGAAGTGGAATGTGTAGGTCAAGCGGTTCGCTCCATCATCATGTTGGCGTTCCCTCTCCTTCGAATGCCTTGTTTGAATGCAAGACGCTACGTGCGAAAGTAGTTATCGTTCCTAAGTTCTACCCTTCTAGGAAATACTCCAAAGTTACAGGCCATGTTTTACATTGTTGAGAGGCCTTTGAAAAAATTACAAGTACCTCTAGGGCAACGTAAGCGTCTTCACTGTGAAGGTGAAGGACGAGAGAAGGACGCTAACCTGCCTGCGCACGGCCCGCTTGATTAGAGAGAGCAAACGAACTCTCTCACAAGTGTCAACAAAACACCACACGCCGCTGTCAAGACTAACTTGCACTCCCTCGATTCCCAGTATCCAGCGCGGCGAACCAACCCTCCCTCATGATGGCCGACCCAGGCATCACCGCCACGTTCTCCGATCTCCCGACTGAGATGAAGGCGACTATCTTTGGCTATCTTCGACAAAACGATCACAAAAAGTCGGCTTGCCTTGTGAGTCGCGGTTGGAGAGATATAATGGCGCCGATTCTCTGGGAACATCTTACACTGGAAATCGCAACCACCTTACCAGGAGAACTGGCTTGTCTGCTGAACCCAAATGACGGAGTCCTTGCCCATGTGCGTTCTATCGACATCCGCCCAGGACTGGACGACCCGGAAGAGTTCGAGCTGAACTCTGAGTTCGGAATCGCTTTTCGATTGATCTTTGGCGCCCTACAAAAAAATTGTCTTTCGACGCTCAGATTCTACATCGACATCAGCATGACCACATTGCTAAGTGTCCTTCAATCCCAGCAAGCGCTCGAAACACTTAGGCTTCAAGGCTTGACTTCGAACGGAAGCCTTTCTAACGACTTGTGTCTCGCCACGCATAGTTCGTGGGTCACGCCTACGTTGCGCAACATCAGGTACCTTCGAGTTACCGTTGGTGATGGGGAGCAAAACACGTACGAGCACAGCGCCTTTCTTGTCAAGAACACCCCAAAACTCAAGTACCTGAATTTAGATGGCTTCGTCGATCCTTTACCTGACTGGTATGGGAACGATGCACTTGGAGAACCAGGAGCAGCCACTCAGAGTCTACAGCTGGACCACCTTCAATTGTCTTGGCTGGATCTCGAGACTTACCCTGCGTCGCTTTTCACAGTTATTGACTTCTCTGTTCTTCGCGATCTCTTGGTCATGGAATGCGACAATGTCGGGGCCTTTCTTACTGCTCTCGTTCCAGGGGCTTCACAGGTACCAGCTTTGAAAAGGCTAGAGATGGTATCTTCGTTATTGCCTCCCTCGGACGCGAGTTTGCAAGCGATCGAGACTCTGGTGACATCCACTCCTTCACTACAAACCCTTTGGTTGGATGTTGGTAAAGGGCGTTTGATCGATGTAGCATGCCTGGCTGGACATGGAAATACGTTGAAGCGTCTTGGTCTAGCAGCTTCATCGAGAACGCAAGGTCCATACTACTCTGCCCTTGATCTTGATAAGCTACTGACACAGGCGCCAAAGCTTGTGGACTTAGCAGTCAGTCTTTGCCCGATCAACCTTGGTCACGTTCGGCATCTTGGTGCTAAGTTCAAGCTGTTCAAGCAAACCGGTAACGACTACGTTCTCAGTGAAACAGAATTCCTCTTAGTACGTACGTAATCTCCATACATAAGTCAATTGCTAATAAATGGACCAGATTCGTATTGCGAAACATCAAAACCTCCAGTCACTGCGGATTCTCACACTACCCAGCATCGATTATGGAATGATTCCAAACCCGAATATCGTGAAGGGAATTGACCTTCCGGATGAGCATGTCTATACCTCAAAAGTAATGATGCAGGCATTTGCTACAGAAGTCTTTCGTCTGCTCGCTAGAAATGGGTCCAACATCAGAGCTCTAGCCATATCGCCGCAAGTCAGGAGTTCTACTAAACGACCTGTCTCCGATGACAACGGACACCGTTGGCCCCGCTACTATTACAGATACGACGTAACTGGTGCCATGAGCGGTCAAGAGCACGTTGTTGCTGTCCCGACACCTCCGGCTGAGTTTCCAATCCCCGTCCCGACTTGAGACAGGCAGCTATGGAAGACGTCTTAGCTCCGACGAAAGAGAGCTGGGAGAGGGAGTGAGAAATCGTTCAAGACACCTAGGCCGTATCATTGTCTGAGGCCAGGTTCCGGTACTGTATAGAGATGTCAAGGCGGAGAGTTCGGTTTGAGTGCTGATAGAAGAGCTCACCAAGGCTGCGAGATTGGAGGTCATACCAGTATTGCTCGAGAAACAAGACTTCCCTATATATCAGTAGAACTGTAGCAGCCATAGTGCTTCAATACATCACAGTTCACCAACAACATAACCAAGCAAACATGTAAACCGAGACTTCATAATCTTCATTCATCATCATAGCAGGTATATGCCTTCCTGGCTTCAAGCCTTCCCCTACCACACACACCTTCTGAATAAACCTCCCAGGTGTTGCCAAGTTTTTGCCTCCATTTTGACATCAACCCTTCATATCTACAAATACAAAGACGGTCGCTAGATACGCCGCCACAAAAAGAAATCCAAGTCGTACCCAAGCCCATAGAGCTGTGGGAAAAAGAGACACAAAAGACACGCTCGCAGTGCTGAGAGAAGGAACATAAGACAGAACAAAGATGGCTAGAAGAGCTGCGCGAAGCCATCAAGGCAACGCCGCTTTGAAGTTTGGATTCACCGGTCCTCCCGCCCACTAAGCGGCAGGTTGAGCCCCAAACTCCGCGCCGCCACGGCCCCTTGGTGCACCTCCACGACCACGGTATCCGCCGCCAAAGCCGCGACCACGTCCACGGCCGCGTCCACGACCTCGACCACCACGGAAGCCATCGACGCTGCCCTGGCCAAAGGTCTCCATGTTCTTCTGGCGCTCTTGGCTCCTGAACTCTTGGCCACGCGTGGCAGCCTCTTCCCTATCCTTGAGTTCGCTCGAAATGTTATCGAAGAAAGAGCTCTTGTCGTACATGGATCCACCAGGGATGACGACCTCTTCTTTTTCTGTGGTTGCGGTCTCGACAGCTGGAACAGCTGGAGCATCACCCATTGGCGAGCCAGAGGCGATGGCTTCCTTAATCAAGTCCTGCTTGTTGAACTTTGCGTTTGCGGATTCAAAATCGAAATCGGTTGTGGGCACCTCCATCTTGGGGTGTTGCGGATGAGCGCCACCCCGTCCTCCTCTTCCGCCTCGACCGCGGAACTCGCCTGTTCCTCGCTGACGGGGCTGGTGCTGACGGCTCTGTTGATCGCGCATGCCCTGTACCTGTTGTGCCAGGTTGTTCATGGGATCTGAGACAGGAGGTTGACTTGGTGGTTGACCTTGCACTTGGCCCTTGTTCTGGAGGTTGAGCTTGGCCATAGCCTCGGCGACAGCGGCAGTTGCTAATTGAGTAGCATTCTGCTGCTGAGCAGCACTGGGCATTTGTACGGGAGCGGCAGCACCTTCTTGGGCATGAGGCGCCGTCTTTGCTGCTCTCGGGCTTGGAATCGGAACAGCGGGGATGATTCGTCCACCCTTGGGTCCGCTAGGCTTACCCTTGGACGGCGGTTGAGTGGTTTGAGGATGGGGTGGTGCCAACGCAGCCGAAACATCGGGCTTTGAGTCGACTGGTGGTGGAGGAGCCTGCTTACCAGCAGCAGCCGGCGTTGGCGTTGAGCCAGATGCCTTCGCGCCGTTCTTTTGTTGTGGTTTGGCTGATGCACCATCTGCCTCGGCGACCTTTGGTTGCTGTGGCTGACCTGGCTTCTCATCCTTGCCTGCTTGGGGACCTGATGGGCCCCGTTGACCTTGTGGGGGTTGGTTTTGGTTCAAGCCGGGAGGGCCAATGGGCATGTTAGGCGAGAACGGACCAGGAGGCTGGTGGAAGCCTTGGCCTGGAGGGAACCAGCCTGGAGGCGCACCAAATGGAGGCGGTGGCATGCCAAATGCGCCTGGTGGGCCTCCAGGACCTGGGAAAGGCCCTGGACCGCCAGGGAAACCACCTGGAGGGCCGAATCGGTTGCCATATGCACCACCAGGGCCGCCAGGTCCACCGAAGGGAGGGTATCCACCAGGTGGGAATTGACCTGGTTGGGGAAAATTCGGCGGCGGTTGTTGGCGGCCGGCAATGTCTTGTGGACTGCCTTCTTGCCGCGACTGGGGTTGTTGTACCTGTGGCGCATGCGTCGCGTCAGCTTTGCTTCCAACAAAATGTGACAGGAACAGATTGTAGGTAAGGATCTCAGAAGGAAGGCAACGGAAAATATCCACACGGTTTTGCGCTCTCGGTGGTTTAAATGATTTACATCCGAAAATTTTACATCATCGAAAAAGAAAAGGAAGGGTGGTGTCATAGACTTACTCCGATGATGGCTGGGTCCTGGGGCATTGCAGGCTGAGCCTTCTCCTTGACAGGCTCTTCAATGCGCAGATCCTTCACATCGCTGCCTCGGAAGACAATCTGCTCGTAAACGACGTCTGATGGCGGGTATTCGTCTTTGCCGCCCTTGCGACCCTCTGTGCCAAAGGAGCGCACATTGTCTAATGAGACTGTGGAGGCTTCTGAGTTGATCTCAACGAGAGTGCCGACATAGCTGCGGGATGTCAGTCGCGTCGCACAATGAACCGACGCGATGTCAAACTCACCGGATGTCGCTCTTTGAGATGAGAGAAATGCGAGATCTACGCGTCCGACGTCAGCTGGAGCTCCAGCTCGAATTGGAGAGCTGCGACTAACCCGATGAACTCGGACATGGCTGTGTAACGTGGGTATCAAAACGGGTATCGAAAGGAATTGAAGCTCAATGAACAAGGAAAGAAGGCGGGAAAGTGGGTGTGAAGGGGTAAAGTGGTGGATGGAGGAGTGAGGGGTGAGAGAAGGTTGGAGAGCTCCGTGGTCGTGGGCTGAAGCTGAGAAACTTGGCGCACGTTTAGCGAGGCGTAGTCTGGAAGCTTGAGCCTCATTCATCCACCTCGGGCTACCTTTACCCCACAGTACCACCAGCAGTGTGTACAAGCCCGATAGGCTGCATCCATGCTTCGCCGTAGCAGATGAACCCACGTATCTTTAGGCCCTTGAGGTCGTGACTTGTTTGCTCTCTCTAGAGGTTTCTATACTTGGACCAGGCTTCTTTGTTTGGGCTTCTGATTGCCCTCGTCCTCGCCATGAGCGTTACCAGTACTACCGAGGACGGCCTAAACGACATCTACGAGGCCCTAGATCGCTACAACTGGGACGATGACATCGAGTTCCAAGCCGGGCTGCAAGCCATCATTGGCAGCAACAGTACTCCAGAGCAGACGACGGAGCTAGCATTGCGCGCGCGATGCTTTTACTATGCGAGGTGCGCCACCATGTCACCTATACAATGATAGACAGTATGCTAACAAATCTCCAGGAAATACAACAAGAACATAGACTTCAACGCCTACAAAGCCTACCGCAATGCGCGTAACCGACCTCCTCCAACCCCGCCAACACCCCACAACGTCCTTGCCTCCTCGGTCGTCGACGAAATGCTCCCACCCGGCACCGCTACACCCAATGCGTCCACAACCAGTCTGCCTATGAGCACAACTAGCGAGCTGCCTCCAAGCACCGAGGCAAGTGGTATCATGCCACCGCCGACAACCACAAGCGAACCACCCGCGCCATACCCAACGTCATTTGCGCACATTGTCGAGTTGATTACGAGTGGGAAACCGGTGCCGGGGATCAAAGAGATTCCCCCTACCGTGTTGGAGGGACAGGGCACGCAGCCGAGTAAGCCCAAGAGAAAGAAGCCGTGGGAGAAGGATGAAGCTTGACATGTTTTGGAGGGTGGCGTAAGACGCATAAACAATACCCATGTTAGAACCGGTTGCAAGGCATATCACATGATTGGCTATCCAAGATATGACAATATGATGCATACAATTCCAATACAGCCTATACACGCTATGCTATCTGCGCACATCCAATTCCGACATACAAGATTTTCCCATCCATCCCGAATCCAATCCCAAAACAGCAACTGGGGTATATAGCAGAACCAACCTCCCAACCATACGCCCAATTATACACAAGAAATCCTTCCCAAAATACAGCATCTTCCACCCCTGTGCTGTCAAGCGAAACGAAACAGACTGCTACAAGACAGCCTCAAGAATCTTGTCCTTGAGACTCTTGACCTCCTCTTCCTTCTCCCACAATCTGCGTTGTGCGTCGAGGAACTTGGTCTTCCACGCCGCTGGCGTCTCGTTCCTTTCCAACTCATCACTTGCTCTTGAACTCTCTCCTACAGCTTCACCAATCTCCTCACTCGAACTGCTTATCTCAAGGCCCTTGACAACCCACTCCCCCACCAAACCCCCAAAATTCACCCCGAAGAAAACATCAAATGTCTCTTTGATCCTTGTCCCGTCGCGCGGGCTCTCCCCCTCTTCATCTTCGTCATCAACAGGTGACTCGTACCCATCTCCGCCAACACGGAACCGTATACATTCTACACGCCGCACGCCTCCTGTCGGTCCGCCAATCCCCACACCAACCGCAGAAGTAAGACCTAGACAACTCGCTATAGCTACACCGAGAGCAGAATCGGACATGACCTTGCTGTTCGCGGGAGAAGTCGAGGAAGAATGGCCAGATGCGGGTTTTGAGTAGAGCGGTTGTAAGATGGCTGTAGCCAGTATTTTCGCTTCGTTGCCCCTCAACCGTTTGCGGCGGTTTGTCAGCGGAGCGCGGATCAGTTCTGCGGCTAGGGCGCGGTTGATCGTCTCGGGCGCAATAGCCGGCAGTGGGGATGTGGCCGTTGAAATATCTGCTGGAGAAGTCTGCGAGCGCGTTGGTGGTGGCGGTCTTGTCTGCGCCGGTGTTTCCGAAGGCGTAATTGCTCCGTGGTATGTCTGGTGTGTCGGTCTATCAGGTTGTTTTTGATACATACTCTGTTGCTCATATTGGTGATGTGCAGGTGAGACTTGGGTTGAAGCGGCGCTTATGGGTGAGGGGCCTAGATTCGTGCCTGGGGAGGAGTTTTCCTCGCCGTTTACGAGGACGGTTGGGGTGACGAGGCGTACAACAGGGTTTCCGACGTTTGGTGGGACTTGCAGACTTAGGCGTTGTTTCTGGGGCATGCCGCCTGTGAATTGGCCTTCCATTTTGGAGGGCGAGATGGCGGATGCGGGGGTTGGGGGGAAGCGGAAGGAGTTCTCAGGAGCTGGGGGGTCGGATTGCGCGCGCTCAACAATGGGGGTAAGATTGCCTGGTGTGCGGTCGATGGGTGGTCCTTCTTTCGTTTTGGGGTTGGCTGGGAAGGTAGTGTAAGGTCCGTCTCGTATTGAACGGTTTTGTGGAGGTCGACCGCGTAGCTTGCCAGTGGACGAGGTGTTACTGGCTGACCATGCCGACGACACAGCAGGACCGTGACGTCGACGAGAGCGCGACCTCGCACTGGACGGGGTGACAGCCGACTGGGGCTCATCGAAGAACGGATATGCAGACTGTGGGGTTACAGCGGAGAGTGGGTGAGGGGTCTGAGGGGTGTCTTGCGTGTTCAGTCGCCACCGTATATGCTGTCCAGACATTGGAGAATCTGAATATGGAGTCAGATTACTCTGACCTAGACGACTTGGTGCTGAAGCTGCTGTCAAAGCTGAAGAAGGCGTGACAGCTGAGACTGAAGTCCATGGGTCTTGAGGTGTGAGAAAGCCGCCGTGGATGTTGTTGGGATGGGCGCTTGTAGGATACGCTGATTGGGGCTGTAGCACGTTGCCAAACGGTATTGACGTGTCCAACTGTGGGCGCTTACGAGCCGGTGTGCCTTCATCGAAATCAATATCGTCATCCCCATCTTCGGCTTTCCGTCGTCCGCGCTTGGGTTTGAACTTGGGATCGAGAGCCCGGATAGCCAGGTCTTCCTCCAGAGGAACCCCATCACGACCTTCACTCGGAAATGGGTTGTGGGGATGGGGTATTTGCAAAAAGTAGGGGTGTTGCTTGCCCAGCAGGTACTCGAAGAAGGCGTCGATGTGCATGGCGCGCATCCATCGCTGTTGATAGTTAGCAGAGCTCATGAGGACTGAGGTGTCAAGTGGTATCGCAGATTCAAGATGGCTAGGTCGCGACAAGAAATCCTGCGCACTCCTCTGCCTTGCAGAAACCACAACTGCGACCCAGTCGCGAAGTACAATTCATTCCAGGTATGTCAGTCCTGTAAGTGGCTCGGCTCGCATACTGCGCCGGATACCAACTAGATGGTCCCGATCACAATGAGGCGTTGGAGGCTGATATCGACTGCGCCGCACAACCCGGATGACATGCATGAACACAGTGTTGGAACCAATGACGCCAAAAGACAAAAAGACTGAAGAACCAATGTATTGGTATGAAAATGACTCGGCGATTGCCAGCCACAAGGAAGGACAGTGAATTGAAGAGCTCTTACCTTTAGCCTGACGGAGTACTGCTGCACCTTCTGCGTGCTTTGCCCCTCGTCTGTGTTTGGCGGCTTGACTCCCAGATCCAGGGCCAGTTGTGTCCATGTTTTGATTTCTTTGGCGTCAAACTTGCGTATCAGCTCGAAGAGAGTCCATGTGCTGAAGGCGTTTCCGTCGCTCTTTGGCGGCGTGCGAAACAGCTTGACGAGTTCGCTCGTGTCGATGGTGGTGGGGAAGTTGGGGTTGCAGTAGAGGATAAAGGTCGCGTAGGCATGGTCGATGGTGTCGTCGGACACGTCGCGCGATGGAGTGTCGCGGTCGGCGGGCTCGAAGTGCGAGGTCACCTGGCGCGGCTGGCTGGTGGGGGAGATTTGGGCGAAGCGCGGCGAGGCATTCGCAGACGCTGGGGGAGTCTGGGAGCTGCGCATGTCGCCATAGAAGCCGTGGCCGAGGTGACTGGCATTGTCGGGCTGAAGTAGATGACTGGACTGGGCCTGATGGGGGACCGCCGACATGGGCGTGTGCACATTGCGGCTGGCACCTGTGCTCTGCTCCAGTCCCGGATCGATTGCTGGTACACGACCGCCGCCTGGGTGCCGAAAAGGCGAGTAGGCCGGCCCGCTGCCAGGCCCGGAGTGTTCGTAGTGTTGGTGGGCGTTGGCTGTCAGGTGCAGACTGTGCTCCGTCTCTGCCTCGTCGCCAAAGTCGACCTGCATGGTTCTCCACGGTGTGTCGCGCTCTGCTGCTTCCTCGGCCCGTCAGCTTGCCATGAGAGCCTGGGGATGAATCGCGACCGCGCTAACACCAATAGCAGGCCATGGATATAGCCCGTAGAGAGTGATCAACGCCCAAGGTTTGCTTCTTCAGCCCCCAGAGGGATGTCGCAGGCAGCGGCTGCTGTCGCAACGGGGCCTGCGAGTCCAGCGCGAACAGGTCCAACGATAGGATGCGATGCGCCCAGCGCCGTCGCGAGATGTTTCCCGCCGCGAGATGTTTCTCGTCGCGAGAGGGCGATTACGTCGTTTGCCGTGGCAGCGCGCTATGAGGTCGCGTCGTCGAGGGTCCAGCGGGTGGTAATTTGCGGTCCTTCAGGTGTTATGGCGGGTCGTGCCTGCCTGCTTCGGGGCATTTTGGTCAGTTATGACAGCTGAGCGGGTACCCCAGCATCGTCGCTTCTATTTTTGGATCCTCCAAACGCACCACCTCTGACCACACCCCATGTCGCTGCACCATCATCACCCCTACTGTCCCTCTTCTGCACGCTGACTGGCTGCCTATTTACACTCTGCCATGAACACGCGACAAATGTGCATCGAGTGGCAAGCACCCCAAGCCTCTCTAGGACTACCTACTACCCTAACCGGCATGCGCCGGCCAAACCTCGCTCTGGGCATATTGCCACTACGTACGACTACAACGCTATCTGGGGCCGATAGTCGTTTTGAGACGATAAAGAGTCTAAAAAAGCATCATGATGCGAGCAAGAGGCAAGGTACGGTATATGCATAGCGCTTTCATCCCAAGCTAGGAAGCGCCCGGTATCTAGAGCCAACAGCGAGTTCTTTGATCATCTCTGATGAAGGCAGGCCAACTCAGGCACAGTATTTCCTCATAGTACTCCCTTCATGCCATGGTCCCAGGAACATACATCCCAGATTGTTTGGAAACAAAAGGACCGCCATCTTCCTGCTATACGTCTTTCCAGCATATGGGGAAGACTTCAGCTACTCCAAGTCGAACGTCATCAACATACGATTGAAGTTTCGTGTCAACACTCCAGCCGACGACAGAGAGGAATGACGCGTATCAACGCCATCTCGACTTCCCAACTAAAGTTTCATTACGCCCTTCTATTTCTCAAGACTACCTTGGTAAAATCTATCATGCTGGCATGCACTGATCTTTCCTTCAGCAAGCTAAAAAGTAGATCACAACAGGTACCTCAAAGGTGTCGTATGTTCATTCTCACCTCGGCTCCCTAGGCTTTTTACCTCCCCTGTTCCGGGTGCGCCTCAAAAGAAATGAGCTTGTTCCCAGGTGACATCAAGCACTGAAGTCACAGGGTCCTCAAAACTGCTTGGTCTTGGTGGTATGCAAACGCCAACACACATTGCACAATCAGGAAGAATCTACTTATTATACGATCTGTAACGCCTTCTCAACTGACCAATTCAGTTTTCAGAAGTTATGAAGACATTCGCTGATCTACCCACCGAGATGGTCGTAAACGTGTTCAAATTCGTACGCCAGAGACCCGACCAAGGCGCCGTCTGTCTGGTTAGTCGCTTATGGAGAAAGATCATGGCACCTGTGATGTGGGAAAAGCTCGAAACCAACTTGAGAGAGTCTGGTAGCCGCTCTTTGGGAACGTTACTGAAAGCGGATTCCAATATCTTGCCCCACGTACGAGAACTGAAGATATGCAGCGTGACGTTTGGGCACGACATGGAAGATCGTCTGAAGCTGTTGATAGCAGCGCTTCCACGCGACAAACTTCGTACGATTCATTGCACCTACTACATCAAAGACTTGACCTTCCAGCAGTTGTTGCTTTCGCAACGCAAACTCGAAAGTATTCAAGTCGCTACTTCGTTTACGAATCTGGACCAGAGAACCGAGTCTCACTTTCTGTCTCACGACTATTTCTCATGGACAGCCTCCATGATGTCCGAAGTGAAGCAGATAAAGTTTGACCTCTTTAGGAAGGAGAATGGACAAGCAAGGAAGACCTTCAAAATCTTGCGCAAAGCCTTCGATGCATGTTCAAAACTAGAAAACCTCATATTGATCGACACAAGGGCGTTTCCAGGCTCACTACAGGATATACTTTCCTACGCAACTGGAGGCCAACTATTCTTCCAACTCACGTCTGTGACCTTACAAGGATTAGACCTCGTGCCAAATGGCTCACAGCCATTCTGTCACAACTTTAACGTCACGAACTTGCAGCAGATGAATCTTACGTCATGCGACGATGTTATTCCATTTTTGGACAGCCTGACCAGGTCTTACTCTGAGATGTCTGGGGCGCTGAAGGTGCTGTCAATCCAGCTGCGAGAAGACGATCCTACGCCAGTGGAAACTGCAAGCTCTGTTGAGGGATTTCTCAAAGCTTGTCCCAAACTTAAGGACCTCTCTCTAGTGCTTGCCAGATGCCCCCTTGTAGGCAAAGACTGTCTCTTGTCTCACGCGGACACACTGCGTTCGCTTGTCGTTAGCACCGATCCGCTTGAGCAGCGCGCGTACTCAAAACATGATCTAGAACGCATCTTAAAGGCCTGCAAAAGGCTTAAATGTCTCGCGATCAACTTCCCGCCTATCAGGCTGGGGTCTGTTACCAAGCCACGTCAAGGTCTCCGCTTCGATGAAAGTGAAGACGGCGCCGAGGGCGTTCTGGTGCGTTTTCCAAGTCTGATCGTTTCTTGGTTCCTGCTAATTGGCATCGCAGGCTCAAATTTCGCGATACTCTTCGCTCCACACTCTTGGAATGCTCAACTTGCCTGAGCTCAGATTCGCCTATTACCCGAAACCTCCCCGACTTCCCACGATGACGAAGCAAGCTATCCTTCAGTCCTACAATTCAGTCATGCAGAGCCTTGCTAACCAGGTCTTTTGTTACATGGCGCAGCACGGCACATCTCCAAAGGTCTTTCACGTCGAAGCTGACGGTTTTTTTTGGAAGCTCAGCAGACCCGACCGTGATTTCGTCGTTTTATAGCTGGTATCATTACACCTACATCAGCAGACATATCCAAGACGGATCTGGCATTAGTGTGGCAGTGGAAGTGCCATCGAAAGCTGCGCGCAGAGAGTTCCCCAACGACTTCATCATACAGAACTTTGCCAGAAAAGGATCGCATATCTAGAAGTGTCGATTTTCTGCATTTGATGATGTTGCTAAGGATTATGCTGAGCTACTAGTGCCATAGCGTAAGAGTTCTGCTTGGCGTGCATAGATATGATAGAGTCAGGAAACAAAGATGCAAGAAGAGACAATACATCCTTTGCACTGACCATACTGTCCATACCCTCTTTGAACTTCGTTCACTCTCAAACGTCGTTTTTATCCAACAACGAGCTCGAGGTAGCTCTGGATTGGCCAGTGATAGAAGGCATCCAAGTCGCATGAGATGCTTTCGAAATGCTACTGTCGGGTATATGGTGCATCCTATGTCGCAAATCTACCAATTCACTATTTATACCGTCAGCGAGAACTTAAACTGTTGGACATAAATTCAAGAGAACTTCTCCGTACGGTTGTTGCTGCCTGACGACGCGCCAGTAGCATAGCGCGGTGAATGACCCTTTTGGTGTCTGCAAGTCTTGGTGAAAGGTAAATACACTGCACGAGCCATGCTTTCTCACTCTCACTTGACTCTCACTCCACTCACCGCGACAAAGATTTTCTCTTCTTGACAAGAGCAGCGAGACCACAATAGAGACTACATTGGCCTGCTCCCACTCCCACCCATGGCGCCTGCTACCTTCTCCGACCTGCCACCTGAGATGGTCAGCAATGTGTTCGCTTTCGTAAGTCTGGTCATATGACAGCTTTTGGAATTGCAGAAATGCTAACAGAATCATCTAGGTGCGACAGCAGGCTGACCAGGGCGCGATCTGCCTTGTCAGTCGCGTGTGGAGAGACTTGATGGCACCTATGATGTGGGAGAAGCTCAAGATGAACTTGAGCACCGCATCTCCTCGCTCCATCGCAACCTTGCTACATCCATGCTCAGATATTTTGAGCCATGTTAGGGACTTGAATATCTATGGAACAAAAGAGGGAGAGGACTACTTGAGGCTAGTCATCGCAGCAATTCCTCGAGATAGGGTTCGTACTTTCTGGACCCATTTCAGCCCGGAAACCCTAACATTGCACCTCCTACTTTTGTCTCAGCGCAAGATTGAAGATTTGGCCATCTTCAGGTGCTTCATCACTTCTGGCCATCCCAGACCATCTGATCTCGACTCTGAAGAGCATCATGAATGGATGGGCTCATCATTGCCTGAAGTCTCATCGATACATCTGGGAATAGGACCAAACGAAGCCTCAGATGAGGACGCTTTCTACGACATGAAATTCGTCTCTCGCTGTTGTCCGAAGATGACATGTCTTTCGCTGTTCAAAAACCTCGGTCCAGCATCTGAAGGGTTTTTGCACTCTGTGTCCTCGGTGTTCAAGTTCAGTCTTGCAGAAGAGGCTCCACTGTTCCAGAATCTCACATGTCTACGACTCTTTGACCTGGATATTGCAACTCCAGAAGACCAACCGCTATGCAAGAACTTCAATTTATCGAAGCTACGGAGTCTTCAGATAAAAGAGTGCGACTACCTCATTCCTTTCTTAGAGGGCTTATCTTCATTCTATATCGACTGTACAGGTCAATTGGACGAGCTCATAATCCTCCTTCCTGAAGGCCTAGATCAGCCGCTGGAAACCATTCAAGCCATGGAAAGACTACTCAAGAATTGCCCCAAACTTCAGAGTCTCGATATGGACTTCGAAGGGTACGGGCCGATTGCCAAAGATTGCATCTTGGCTCACTGTCAGACGCTCATCTCGCTTCAGATAAGCTTTGGAGTGGACGAATGGAAAAACACCTTTTCTGAATACATGACATCCATCTTGAGAGCTTGTACCAAACTGAATAGGCTGGCGATCGACATGCCGACTTTGAATGCGCATACGCATGATATTCCAGGTTTCAAAGCCGGTAGTTCCTTTCCTGCAGATTTTGCGGATATGTTGGCAAGTTTCCATTCGCCCTTTTGACCGCTCCGCCGCTAACAGATTTCCAGACTGTGGTCTCCAAAACTACGACTATACAGGCTTTCCGAATTTTCACTGTAACTAAGCACGAATTCTGGGATGCCGCCGATGACGAAGATTTACTCTTAATGCGGCATAGGACTCTCCATCAGGTAGTGATGCAGAACCTTGCCAACCAAATTATGCGATTTATGGCTAAGCAAGGATCCAATCTAAAGATTCTTAGCTTCAAACCTGTTGAAGTCGACGAGGAATTCCTAGGTCAAAAGCTAGTCAGGGATGGAAATGGCCACCGATGGCCGGAATATCATTACTGCCGTGGCCATGCGACCGACATTACAGGCACAAATGTCGTGATTGCGCATCCTTCGAGGAACATAGCACTGGAGTTCCCAGGTCTTGCAGAGTTCTTCGATTAAATGTGATCCTGTTCACAGCATCATGTCAGATTGGAGCTACGAGAAGACGCTGGAACTGCGAGATGGATACCAGGATAAAATTGTCTTCAGCTGCCTCTTATCTAGACCTTTCTGATGACTTTCGAGTTTACGAAATTCCAAGTAGTGTTCCAAACTCACATCTTGTGATGGCCGCTGCGCATCTAAAACTATTCAAGCAAGTTCACATGAAAATTTCTTTGCGTATCATGAACCAATTGAACAATTGAGGAAATAGCATTTCAACTCGATGCGAAACTACGCGACGCTATGCTAAACTAACAGCAAGAGGGTATAGTGCTTTTATGCAATCAAACAGCCGTTACTCATTACCTCTCCAAATCCTCCCGATCAAGCCTTTTGAGACTCGATCTCCTTTGCTTCCCGCTTCTTTCGCCACACGGGGCCCATCTTGATCTCCAACAACATGAGCGGCAGCAACAAACAACAAATGCCGCCCCAGAAAGTATAGGTCCAGCCATCGCCCCACGCCGCTGCCTGGCGATCAATGATAGACACCAAGATGGCAGCCAGCGAGCAGCGCACAAGATTCGTACACGCCGTAGCGCCCGAGCTGCGCGACTGCAGAATGTCGATATTCAGCGTCATGGTCGTGTTGAGGATGCCGATTGACGTCCAACCGAGCATGACGCCGAGAATAAGCGGCACGGCGATGTGAGCCTTAGCCTGGATCGTCCAACCCCAACCTATGACGCAGACGATGAAGAGGCTCAGGTAGAAGGGCATGATGCGCAGCCTCGCATGTTCGATCGTGAACTTGTCACCACACCGCTCTTTCATACTCGCGTACTGCCAATCGAGCATCTTGCCGGTCATGGTAGAACCCAGAATCATACCAGCGCCAACAGGCAAATAGCAAAGTCCCAACACCGTCTCCGATAAGTCCGGGTAAATCTTTGCAAAGGCCGAAGAAATGGTGGCGGTGATAGTGTAGTTGACAGCGTAGACGAGGCCGGTAAAAGTGAGCAACACAATGACATCAGGGTAACTGAAGAGCACGAATGGGTTTACGCTATGCTTGGGCTTAGCGCGAGAATCGGGGTCAAAAGCTTCTTTCGTTGCTTTTTGGCCTACGATGGGTAGGATAGCGCGTTGCAAGCGAGGCACAGGGATACTGCCATTGCCGGCAATGGAGCGCAGGGTTTCGGGCAGAAAGAGGGCGATGCAGAGGAGGCAGACTGCGACCATGATGACAATGGACCAGAAGATGGATCGCCACCCCAATCCTTGCGATAACGCGCCTCCGATGGCCGGGGCGATGCAAGGCGCGAGCATGGGACCGAGGTTGAACATGCCAAAGTATCCTCCTCTTTCTCGCGAAGTGGAAATGTCGCCTATGACACCTGCGCCTAAGGCGATGGTGGACGCGCTACCTCCGGACTGGAAACAGCGCAGGAAGAGGAGCAGCCAGAAGTGATTCGTGGGACAGAGGGCTAGCCCGATGCTCGATGCGACGAGGATGCCGAGACACACCAGGTAGACGAGGCGGCGGCCGAAACGGTCACTGATGGGTCCCCACAGCATAGGGCTGATGCCCTGGAATACCAGGTACACGGTAACGGTTTGGTTGATGTCTTCTATTGATTTTCCAAAGGCGCGGGCAAGTGTTGGTATGGCTGGGAAGTAGATGTTTGCTGGGAGAGGGCTATGGTTATGTTAGATATGACCTCATATGACTTTGGGAACGGAAAGAGAAGAAGCATACCTATAGAACCCCGCCAAAGCCACCATGGCTACGATGAGCCATTTCTCTTTGCTCGTATATATACTGTACGGTACTTCGACTTCACCTTCTACCGGTAGCTCAGGTGCTATAGCAGCCTCATCTACCGGTATAGGTTCCTGCTTGTCATCCATAGCAGCAGCCATGACCAAAGACTTGGATTCCAAATAGACGATAGACGAGATGAAGGAAAGCGAAGAGCGACAGCCTCATGCAAGGCTACGCCGCAGCGCCCAACGTCCATGATAAACAAGTCTGCTCTTCCCGAAGACGCTACAATCACCGTCGGAGTATCAAGCACCGCACGCTGTGTGGTTGGACGCTGCCCACCCATTTCGGTCAAGATGATGGGGATAGACCGGCAGACCGGCGAGAAGTCGGCAAGCGCGTCTATAATCAGGCCATTGCGCAGCGAGCATGCAGCCGAGAGACATGCATGCCACACGCCCACATCCCACACTTCCGTCATGTCGGAGTTTGGTCCTCGAGGCCTGTGGGCGCTACGGTGCAAGACGCGGTTATTAGACGGCTAACATGACGGTTGTCGGCTTAGCAGAGGGCGAGGTGGGCGAGATCGTCGTGGGCCGCCGTCGATTTTACGTTCGGTGCCGACGGGTGCGCGCCTAAGCCCAGCGCGGGCAACCAAAGCCGTGTGTACCACAAGGTAAGGGTAAAAAGAGGGCGCGTTTAAAGAAAAAATTTCTCCTCACGATAACACACACTACTACGCCACTTGGTGATGGAGTCATAACTACGATACTGTGGGTGGAGCAAATGATTCAGGTATATAGGCCGGAATTTCCTTCAGTTGAGGAAAAGACGCCGCACCGGGGGACTAGATTCGTTATCACACGACCGATCAGTTTGGACGACGCCCGTTCCAATATTTCGCACTGCAAGCCATAGCTGGACATAGTAGCTGGATCAGCCCGGTGGGTCAATCAAAACGGCCCTGTAACCAACGTCTCGGGAATTGTTGACAGTGGTTGCTTGCAAAAGGGCTTGACAAACCTTAGGCGCGCAATATCTCGGGGTGGAGCGGCGAAAACGTTCAGGAGCCAAGGAAACCAGAACCTAGCCAAACGCAAAAGAGATGGCAGATATGCCCGACGTAGGGGTAGCAAGTAGCAGGGCTGTTCCGCACGAAGACATCAAGCGGCCTAATCTCTCGGTCGGGGAAGTGGGAGCAGCAGCAGTAGGGGGAGTGGAGAACTCGAGCAGCGACGATGTCACGGTGGGCAAGCAAGAAAGAGTACGAGGGTGGAGAGGGGTGCTGAGTTTTCTGGAAAAGAAAGGAGATGTTGAGCTACGAGGATGTACGCCTGTGCCGTATGAGGAACGTCTAGAGACGCAGTATTCAAAGATCTTCACGCTTTGGTTTTGCATGAGTTGCAACCCCCTGCCGTGAGTGGTCAGCCGGGGAACTCGCTCCGTACATGTCAGCTAACGGGTATGCAGTGTGACTTTCGGCATGGTGGGCACCATGTCCTTTGCATTGAGTCTGCGGGACGCGGCACTGGTTATCCTTTTCTTCACGCTTGCGAGCACTGTGCCGGTGGCATACATGTGTACGTGGGGACCGAAGACGGGTATGCGACAGCTTGTCCAGGCGAGGTTTTCCTTTGGCAAGTACTTTGTTTCTCTCCTGATATTGCTCAATCTTGCTACTCTGACGGGATTCTGCGTCGTCGATAGTGTCATTGGTGGTATGGCATTGTCGGCAGTACAAGATGGAGCAACCATCAACGCAACCGTTGGTATTGTCATCATCGCCGTGTTGTCGCTGGTCATATCCTTCTGCGGTTTCGGAGTACTGCATCACTACGAACGGTGGGCGTGGATCCCAGCATTGGCGGCACTCATCATTGCTGCAGGATGTGGGGGTAAGAGTCTCAGCCACCAGGTTCCAGCACCTGCTGCTACAGCATCGCAAGTTCTCTCATTCGGTGGTCTAGTGGCAAGCTTCATGCTGCCATGGGCTGCACTCGCGAGTGACTTCTCGACGTACATGCATCCCAAGGCTCCTCCGCTGCGGATCGCACTCTACACCTACACGGGCCTCGCTCTCCCAACAATCCTCTTGATGACATTGGGTGCAGCCATGGGCGGCGCTACACCAAACATGGCGTCATGGCAGGCTGGGTACGATGTCAACGCAGCGAGTGGTGTCCTGGCAGCCATGCTTCACCCTGCAGGCGGCTTTGGTCGCTTCGTCACGGTTGTGCTGGCATTCAGCATGTTGGGCAACCTGTCCGCAACAATGTACAGCGTAACACTAAACCTGCAGATGCTGCTTCCCTGGCTGTTCCGCATCCCGCGCATCTTCTTCAGCATCGTCATCACTGGAATCGTGATTGGCGTGGCTGTCGAGGCATCAAAGAGCTTTTTCCTCAACCTCGAGAACTTTATCGGAGTCATCGGGTACTGGAGTGCTGCCTTTATTGGTGTCGCTTTGACTGAACACGTGCTGTTCCGAGGGAGCAGCCTCGTGGCTTACACCGAGGATGAAGAGGCGTGGGACGAGCCGAGCAAGCTCCCGCCCGGGGTTGCGGCAATGGGCGCGTTCCTTGTATCCTTTGCTCTCATCATCCCGTGTATGGGACAGATCTGGTGGACGGGGCCCATTGCGGAGACTACGGGCGACATCGGGTTGGAGGTAGCGGTGGTGCTGTCGGCGGTGCTCTACATACCATTTAGGGTGGTAGAGAGGAGGATATGTGGGAGATGATGTCAAGATAGCAAGAACCAATCGTAAGCATTGCTGTCATGTTTGTTGTGTACTGCATCGAGTTTAGAGATTGCACGTGTTGGGGTTTGGTGAAGATTGCCGGATGCGACTAGCTCGGGGAAGTTGTTGCCTCGGTTGTACCTCTTACCCCGGAAACGCTTGGTGACGTTCACAAGCCAGCCGGAGCCGCAGCTCAAATGCGGAGACACATGCCATCAGAGGAGCCCTGGAAGACGCTTCCCTTTTGACGCTGTTCCTTGCACAGTCTATCCTCTCCTTTTCCATTCTCTCTCTTGTTTTTCTCGGCTGCTCCTGCCTCTGACAACGGCTCCATCATGTCTCAAACACAGGAAAAGGCGCAAGAGAAGCTCATCGAGTCGACTTCGTCGGTGCCTCAGAGCACGGCGGCACAGCAGAGCGACAATGTTGCGCATGCGCTGGCGGGCGCTGGTGGAGGACTACTGTCCATGGCCTTGACGTATGCGCCATGATGACTATTGTCGGAGGGCTGCTAACACACACCCCAGCTACCCGCTCATCACCCTCTCTACCCGCGCCCAGGTCGAATCGAAGCGCGCCCAGTCGTCGACGCTCAATGCCGCGCGCCGCATCATCAAGCGCGAGGGCGTCGCAGGCCTCTACGCAGGCCTCGACTCGGCCCTCTTCGGCATCAGCGTCACAAACTTTGTCTACTACTACTGTGCGAGACACCTGCTTCTGATACGGCATGCAGTACAATGAGGGACTGACAGCAGCCAGGGTACGAATGGACCCGCTCCTTCTTCGAGAAGGCCGCGCTCAAAGCCGGTCGCGCTTCCTCGAAGCTCACAACCGTCGAGTCCATGATGGCGGGCGCCCTCGCTGGTAGCGCCACCGTCCTCATGACCAACCCCATCTGGGTGGTAAACACGCGCATGACAACGCGCAAGTCGGAGGCCTCGGACGAGTCGCTCCCAGGCGCTCCTGCAACCCCGCAGAAAGCCCCGTCGACGCTCGGCACCCTCTTCGCCCTTGTGCGCGAAGAGGGCTTTGCGCGCTTGTTCGCCGGTGTCATGCCTGCCCTGGTCTTGGTCATCAACCCCATTCTCCAATATACCGTCTTCGAGCAGCTCAAGCAGATGCTCGAGAAGAGGAGGCGTGTCACACCAAAGGACGCCTTCTACCTGGGTGCCCTGGGCAAGTTGTTGGCCACGAGCATTACCTACCCGTACATCACTGTCAAGAGTCGCATGCACGTTGCCGGCAGAGATGGACCCAAGGAGGATATGATGACCACCTTCAGGCGCATCATCAGGGAGGAGGGGTACACTGGCTTGTATGGAGGTACGATAGCAACTCCTGCGACGCAAATGGCATGTGTGCTAACCGTTGATAGGCATCGGACCTAAGGTCACCCAGAGTGTTATTACTGCCGCCTTCCTCTTCGCCTTCAAAGATGCGCTGTACGCCTACACTGTCCAGGCACGCAAGAAGCTTGCCATGCGCCGTGCCTAGACGTCATCTCCAGAGTGGTCGCGTTCATGGTAGGCGGTGCATATCGGGTCTCTTCGCGACCCGTAAAACAAGGGCGATATCATGTAGGGCGACAAAACGTCATAGTAAGCTACGAGCTTACATACGAGCACCGTATTTGTCGTGTATGGAGCAGAAAGGTAATCTCCTAGGCGGGATTTCATGTGCGAATGCCATAAAAGTCGTACACGAGCATTAGATGACGTGCACGACTAAGATGCTTGTACATGAGGCTCAGCCAAGGAAATCGCTTGTGAGCATTGAAAATATATATACCCAGAATTTCACCCGTCGTTTAACTTAGGCCGGGCTTGTTCTGCTCACGATTGCAATCGTGTATAACGAGGAAACCTCTTTGTTGTTGAAGGATGGGCGGATAGGATCCCGTTTCTCCGCTAGTCGCGTCGTCAGGCTCATCTCACGTCTATACAGCCGCTGCGGGGTATTCTAATCGAAAGGTTGTCAACATGTCCACCACTGATGTTACGCATGTACCTGCAGCATCGACACAAGCCAGGGCGTAGTAGACATGGCATGGGCTCGGCACGTCTTTATAGCAATTATGATAAGAATGCAGGGCGTCTCTTCTCATTTGTATTCTTCTTTCCCTTCCATATCCTCCAGTATATTTCTCTGTCAAGATGAGTTCTGAACCGTTTACCCTGAGGTGGGGTATCTTGGGTATGCATTGTTACCCCTAATGTCAGAGAACAAGCATGCTAATCCCAACGAATAGGCTGCGGAGGCATAGCAACGAGTAATTCTTTCTCCCCTTGTTTTCCAACACATACCATTGCTTCCTAACACCCCACCTAGCATTCACAAAAGACCTCCTCATCGACCCTCGAACCCGTGACGCATTCGATATCCGACACGTCGTTGTCGCAGCCGCGACTTCAACATCTGCACAACGAGCCCAGGACTTTTGCACCAACGTCGGTGTACCGCCCAACACGGCAAAAGCATATGGCTCTTACAAGGAACTCGTTGAAGACCCAGATGTAGATATCGTCTATGTAGCTACCCCACACTCCCACCACTACCAACACGCCCGCCTCGTCCTGGCCGCAGGCAAACACGTCTTGATAGAGAAGCCCATCACCGTCACCGCTGAGCAATGTAAAGAGTTACGGAAATTGGCGCGGGAAAAGAAGAGGTTCATGATGGAAGCTGTTTGGACAAGGTTCTTCCCGCTGAGCAGGGAGGTATGCTCCATCATCCAGTCTAGCCGCCTCGGCACCATAACCCGCGTCTTTGCCGACTTTAGCTTCTGGAACGATGTCGAAAAGGAGTTTGGCAAGGAGCATCGCATGATCAATCCCGAGTTGGCGGGTGGTGCGTTGTTGGATCTGGGCATTTATAGTCTGACGTGGGTGTTTATGGCTTGTTATTATTGCCAGCAGCCGGGAAGGAAAGACGGGCATGGGAAGACGATGGACAAGAAGGAGGAACCGGTTGTCGTGTCTGCGGTTAGTAAAGGGGAGACGGGTGTTGATGAGACGACGACGGTGTTGTTGCATTGGAAGGGGACGGGTGCGCATGCCGTGGCGGGCACAAGTATCAGGGTGGCTACGACGCCTAATGCGGAACATGTCGGTGGGGATGCGGTCAGGATTCAGGGTACGCTGGGCGATTTGACGGTGAATTATGCGCCGAGGCCTAGGACGTATACGCTTGTCCCTGCGGCCAATGAGAAGAGAGGTAAACCGGCGGATTTTGAGTACGAGGTTGTGGATAAGTTCAAAGACATACCTGGAGGGGGACATGGCATGTTCTGGGAGGCAGATGAGTGTGCAAGGTGTGTGAGGGATGGGAGGATGGAGAGCGAGGTTTGTGGACTCGAGGAGACGGAGGTGCTCATGGGGGTTATGGATCAGGTTAGGAAGAATGGGGGTATCTTGTATCCAGAGAGGATTAGCAGTTTGGAGTATCCGCTTGAGGGGTTTGGAATCTGAGATATGTGGGAGGATGTGTGGGGTTAGATTCACAAGGGGGGAATGCATAGGGTGGATCTTTTGTATTCAGTATTGTGTGACCAGCAGTCTAGCTGAGACCTGAAGTCACGACTTTCTCCAGCCTATACGTACCGCCATATCATCACTTTTGATCAGGATGCAGACACCTTCATGCCTCTTAACCCAGCACCGAAGCATTCTAAGCCCTCAGTGTAAGAAGGGTACTATGTACAACCTCTGCCACAGCGGTAGCCTCAGCACCACGTCCAAGTTTCGAGAAGCACTCATGGCCCCAGCGACAACCAGGACCACACACACCGCTCGGGCAACCATAGTGAGAAGTGGTCGCGGTAGGAGCTGGTGTAGTAGCTGCATCGACAGGGGGCCAAGGTGAAGGTGGGCAACCAGGCTCGTTCCTGCCGGGAATGCACATATGGCAGTCGGTACCGGTAAAGCCTGGACGACAGGATGTAGACATATCCTGACGTGCCTCGACAGCGTTGGCTGAAGGCGGGTGGATTATGATTGGAAAACATCCGGGACCGAATTTGCCGGGCTCGCAACGAGCAGCTACAGCGGTAGACTCGGCCTCGCGTGCATCAATAGCGTCAGCTACCGGATGCATGATAATCGGGAAACATCCTGGGCCGAACTTTCCAGGCTCGCAGCGAGGGGCTACAGGTTCGCGTGCCTTGCATCCAGGACCAAAATAACCGGGGTCGAAAGGTGCTGCGACGACGGTAGGCTCGGCCTGGAATGCTTCGATAGCGTCAGCTACCGGATGTGTAATAATCGGGAAGCATCCAGGACCGAACTTTCCAGGCTCGCAACGGGGAGCTACGACAGCCGTAGCTTCAGCCTCCCTCGCAACACGACGCTGAGACCGTCCACCCAAGTCTTGAGATGTAGCTCTAGCTACGATGGACTGACTGCGGGTCCTCGTCCATGTCTGCTTGGGTGCGTTTGTCTGCCTTGCCGCACGAGTGACACCGCGTCCAGGCTGAGTACGGCCACCACCGAAGTCTGGATACGAAATCGTACGTGTTTCATCAGGAAAGCAGAGATGTGTGTCGGGAGCATAGGGCCGAGTATAGTGAGTGGAGTGGCAACCGCATTCGTATGAGGTAGAGCAGGTGGGTGTAGCCTTGTCAGGACCGCATTGAATGTGAGTGGAAATGGGAGGAAGATACTCGGTGATATCGACGCGAGTGTCGGTGATGCTTGTACAAGTCGAAGATGGGGAATCTTGGCGACGGTACTTGGTGATGGTGCGGGTGAGATCACTCGAGTCGGTAGTCGGGGCAGTGTAGCCGTTGGAGCGGGTCTGTGTGCCAGTAGTACAGACAACGCAGCTGACAGAGGTGACAGTGGTTTGGAACTGTCCGACGGTGAGGGCAGCAAAGCCGAGGGCCATCGTGGAGACAGTGGTGAACCTCATCTTGCTGTGTGTAAGTTAGTACCAGATCATTAAGGTAAGCGCATGCTTTGCGGGTTACCTGTAATCGCAGCTTCCAGGTTCTCTTGGAAAGCAAGGAAGGAAGTTGAGTAGAGTGTGGAGGGTGGAAGGTGGAAGATGAAGAGAAGCAGTAGGGGAGATTGTTTATATGTCCGACTACGCTGCAGTAAAGGTACGCTAATAGAGTGGAGCCTTATTGACCTGTGTTTGTGAGGGACTTTACCTTGAGATAACGAGCCGGTAAAACAGTCAAGATGAGCGGTCTACGGATATCGAGTGGGGCCTTGGGCGCCGAGGCAACCGTTTGCAGGGAAATCATAGTAAACGTGAATACCGAGCTTGCGGTGTAGTGACGTGATGGACGTGATGGGTAAAAAAGAGGCAGTGATATGACTTTACATGCAGCCAAATGGAAATGAATACAACTTATACTCTAGAGATAATGATAATACAATGCTGCTGAGACGCCGATTTCTATCACTCTATCTATACGATGTTCTGACAAAAAAGATTCCGTCTATATCAAAAGACCATGTGTAAAGTTCGGCAATGCGGCGCGATACTGTTGACTATACTCGATGATAATCTGCTGCTGGTACCAACTATGGCGCGCATTGTGGTCGGCCACGAGGTTATGTGCGAGCTCGTGGCAGTACGTGCAAAACCAACTGTCCAGCGCCCTCAGCTTTCCTTCCTTGGTCTGACAGCCATCGCTGTGTAGAGCAATGAACCAAGCCAGATTGAAGAACAGACTACCGTTCATGTTGAAGGCCACCGTGTTCGACTTCTTGTCGAGGAAGATGTTCACTGCGGCCGGATTGACGCTAAAGATCGAGGTAAGACCGAAGATGAGCGGTAGGAATGCTTGCAGGTGAGACTGCAAGTCGGTGAGCGGTGCAGTCTCGTCGCGACCGTAGTAGATATCGACATGTCGACCGGAGAAGGGTACGGAAAAGGCTTTGTGCAAGTTCTCCCATTGCTCGCCATTACAGTAACCTCCTCGGTCAAGCTCTGTCGGGTCTTGGTGATGCTTTGTGTTGATATTGTCCATACCGGTAGGTCGACATTCCTTGATAGCATTCTGGATGTTCGATTTCGTAGCTTGAATGTCGCGGCTGATCTGAGGCCCGTCTGTGCCACGCGTGCCTTCACGCGGTGTGCTTGGTGCATTCTTGAACCCAAGCTTCTTTGCCCAGTTATTGATGAGGCCCTGGTCCTCCTCCGGTTGACGGCCGCGATTGGCGATTTCCATGCCAGTGTCTGGACTACCAAACGCACCAGGCATCTCTTTGGCCTTCTCTGGCGTCTCGGGTGGAACGTTTTCTCTATTCTCATGCTTTACATGACCAGACTTGGCTCTTTCAACGGCTTGCTGCTGCTCTTCTTCTTCACGTTCTTGTTCGGCCTGTTTGGCGATGCGTGCCTCATGCTCTTTCCTTCGTAGAATACGCTCTACATTGATACCCTTTTGCTGCAGTCGGCGCAAAGGCTCAGTCAAGATGCGCTCAAGCGCGATCGCATCGTTGCGTTTCGGCCGCGATACCAGCAATCTGACTAGTTCGCTAGATACCTCATAAAGATCGTATTTCGGTGTGATACTCAGCACGTATCCTGTACCACGCACCTTGATGATCACAGCAGATTTTCGTGAAGATGTCGCAACGTTGCGTTCTGCTAGTGAGTAGCGGATGGAAATATCCGACACACATTGGACCGTCAAGTTAGAACCCAGCCATTTGGCGTCGTGTCTAATAGCCTTTGATGAAGCATCGCGTTCGTACTCGTGGAGGAAGAGACGCACACGTTCCAGGATGTCTCTTCGAAGATCTTGGGCGGGTGCCTGGTCGCGTGCCACTGTGCCGATGCGTTGATCGGTCTTGACCAGCTCTGAGACCTTCTGAACACCGAAACGGGCGTAAAATTCCTCGAGGAGCTCTTCCTGCGGGGCTGCGATGATGAAGTCGCGAAATCTCGTCATATAGTTAACGTTGTCGATGATCACGATCTCGCCAGCCTTGTTGAGAGACCATTCACGATGGACATTGTCTTCGTCAAGGTCATCCATCTCTTCGTCACCAGCATCGGCAACCTTTTTGGTGTCCTCTTTGATATCGCGGTAGCCAAGAAGTAGCCTCGAAGCCACGAGTGCTTTGACCAGCTCCTTATCTTTCCACAGGTTTGCCGCATGCTCGGCCAGCTTTCTAAGCAGATCGAGGTATTTCTCCTGGCCGATTGTATTGAGGAAGCGAGCAGGGTTCTTAGCGAGGAGATATGCAAGATCATGCGTAGTAGGCTCGTGCTTCGCACCGACCTTGAGAAGGAAGACTGTGGCTTCCGCACCATAGTGGACATAATCAAGAATACCACGATACTCTTGATCACGACCAACAAAGACATGCTCGGGTGGATCGTAGTGATGAATGCGCATCTCAGTTTTGCCGGTTTGATTCTTCGATCTATCCTCAAAACCACTGCAAGTAGGATCGAGGTAGTATTTCCTGAATATTGGTACGATGTTGGAAGTCGCAAGATTCTGTATGAGGCCTTTGTACTGGTCAAGCTCAGATCCACGCGAAGCAAGATAAGCAAACTGCATTTCTGCATCAAGCTTGGTCTTGGGTGGTGTCTTCATGAGATACTGAACGCATGGGCCTATGCTTGGATCACGCTGGACCGCCAGCTTCTCGGCATGACTGCGAAGGTCGCTTCGTAAGATAGGAAATCCTAGGCAGGCTGCATGCTCATTAGTGTAGCATTGGAAAGGGCCTACTAATGCCGGAAAAGGAGCCTGTTCGGTTGGCAAGATCGGGAGGGTCAGGGCAGCAAACTTCTGGTGCTCTACGGCGTAGTTGTTCTTGTAGTAATTTGTCAAGAAGTATTCCATCGCACGCGTGTAGAGCTGGAGATCTTTGGCTTGACCGGCACGATGGAGAACGTTTGCGATAGTGATTGAATCTGGCCATTGTCGTAGTCCGAGACGCAAGAGTAGTACACCTTCCCGGGTAGTAGGCTTGAATTCGAACGGCAGGTTGATCTGGGTTAGACCCAGAGCTACAATAGCCGGGTCAGGAGCATATAGATCCGAGGCCTTGAATTGCTCGCCCGGCTTTACTAAAGCACCGTTTCCTGGCAAAAACGCTGTCTGTTGTAGGCGGTTGAGATCCTTCGCAGGAATCTCGTTGATGACGGATGCGAAGTAGCGAATAAGGTCAACGTGATTCCAGGTCGGCTTCTCAGACTTTTCAGTCTGCTGCGCGTCGCGGCTGCGCATTCTATCAAACACCATGGGGAGATCGATAGTCTTTCGTACCCCCAGCGCTAAAAGGAATTTCTCCTTGGAGCCTGGGAATGGCGTGACGGTCGGCAGGTCGTCGAAAAGCTTGACAGTAGGGAAGTATGACTCAGCTGGTCGCCGCATGCCCATCTTTGTTGGCAAGATCGTGTGAGGAGTCAAGATCTTGACGACTGTTTCCTTGGAAGTTCCATCCAATTGTTCCCAGCACTTGGAAGTCAACGTCAGTACAGAAAGCGCCAGATTCTCGTCCTTGGTGAAATCGTCCAATTGTGGGCGTGTCGTCATATGCCGGAGCCAACGAACCATCGACAGTTCCACCCAACCAAAAAGCTGCAGTTGTTTCATCGACATGCCTCTTGTGAAAGCAAAAGGTATCGTATCTGGCGGGAGGGGCAAATGCGCACCAATGCGCGCTGGGTTTACGAACGTACTGATGTCACCCAAGGCGAGGATCCTTCCAGAGTTCTTCTCTGGCTGAACATCGATATTGGCGACGGTATTCTCGAATAGACTACGAGAGCCGGGAACGTCAATCTCGCCACTTTCCAGCTTAGCTCCGCACCACTTGAGAAACTCGGAAAGCTCTTCCTCGTTCAGAGCCCGTGACTCAAGGCCCTGGCGGATGTCCTGCATAGTGAGCTCTGTGATGAAACCGCGATTGTGTAAGTTGAGCATGAAGTCAACTGCTCCATTCGCTAGCTCTTGGGGAACCATAGGAACCTCGTTTAGGAAACTCAAAGTTTCTGCTGGCATACGCACGCGCTTACTTGGTAAGAATCCTTTAGTCGAGAGGATGTCAATCGATCGGTCCTTGGAACAATTCCAGAAGGCCTCGTCGATCTTGTCACCGAGAGCTGTGGATGGATGTGATGATTTGGATGTGTATTGTTTGAACACGTACGCAGTCTTCGCGATCAAAGTCTCCATAGACTCCTTGCCAAACTGAGTTTGTAACGCTGCCAGCTCTGCTGCGTAGGTGATGCGACACGCCAACCCTGCAACGCGCAGCAGCTCGATATTCCAGGTAGAGATGTAGCGAGCATTCATATCCACGTTCTCTCGCTCCACAGTCGGAATGAGCGATGGTGCCGAGATGTGAGCAAGATAACCCGTCGTCTGAGCGGTAGGAAAGCCGATGAAGATCCGTCCAGACTTGGTTGGGAGCACTTCTGCGAAGATCTTGTCGGCAAGCGCAGCTGAACTTCCGGAGCCTGTTGCCAGAGTGGCTGATGGGTCCTGATACGGACTCGTCAAAAGAGCGATTCTGATCGTCTTGGGTGGTGATTTCTTAGTCGCTCGCTCAATCTCTCTAGTAAAGGTTTGCGAGACTTTTGTAGCCGCAACCACAGTACACACTTGTAGGAAGATCGTGCCCGTTGAGTCGCCTGCTATTTCTTCATTGGAAATGATCTTCTCCGGCGCAGGCTTGACACTTTTCGTGGGAGGCGGAGGTGCGGATGCAAACTTTGAGAAGAAGCTTCGGAGTGAAGTACCAGCGTTGCGAACTTCTTGCTGTACGAGGTCTGCCGCCTTCTTTGGAGGTAACTGAGCAGTGGCAATGACGTTCATCCAGGCAGCGTCGATTTGAGAGTGCTGTTGCGTAACGTCAGTCACTCGCATCAATCCGCCTTCGGTCTCTGTCTTCAGTCCATTGGGCACGCGGACAGCGTCCGGAGGTGATATTTTCTTGGTGAACGACGCGACGACATAATCATCAACATGAAGCTCGATGCTCTGTAAGCCGACAAATGTGAGACTGGTTGCCAAGAATTGACAAAGAGTGGGCAAGTTCGGTAGCTTCGACGGATTGTACGACGGGGATGCAGGATTTGCTTGTCGGTATTCAAGCATGAAAATAGTGTCCCTCGTATCGTGCTCAGCCGGTACAGGGGCAGCCTTGGTGGAAAGCATGTTACCCTTCCAGTAGAACGCCATAGTCCTGTCTCCCGAAACTACAAAAGGCTCATCGCAGTCGGCAAACACGCTGTAGAACCCAACGCCGAAAGCACCAATCTTGGTTTCGTCTGGATTGCCGTCCGCAATACTTTTTAAACGACTCCAATCTGCGGGTGTAAATGGCTGACCGTTGTTGCTTACAACAAGTCGCTTGAGTGTGTGATTTTGAATGATATGCTTCAGGAGAACGGGGTCCTCGGCGGCCTGTGGTGTGGGTACGGTCAGAGATGGATCCGTCTCGAACTTAATGATGACTTGGTCTGCTTTCGCATCTGCCGCATTCTGTATCAACTCTCGTAATGTTGTATGTTCGCTAGAGTAACGCGCAAGGACCTTGTCGATCAACGCCCGAGTGTTGACCGTGACCTCACTATCGAAGCCATCGGCCATCGTTTGGTTGCGCAGCCGCGCAAAATCAATCGCAGCCATCTTGCAAAGACTATGAGAAGATGCTTAATAGAGCGCCGTTGATGTTTGAAGCCAGAGTGGCAATAGTTGTGCTGCAATCTCGGAGTTAAGCGCAGCAAGACTGTATGCGAAAGAAGTAGAAGTGCTTCAAGTGCGTAAATCTCTTCTCAATATACCCCGCTGGTGCCGCGTGAAATATGTCCGGATTGTGGTTGAAGTTGTAATGTGATTGCCCTGGTTGTACTAAGTGTCCTGGTAAGAAGTGGGCGGCGGTGGCAAAGCCAGGAGGACGAGCCAGACCGTCGAATATTCTTGCGCAGCAAAAAACAAACTCCTGAATATGCTCACGCTATGCAAAACGTAGGAAACATATCAAAGACAGCAGCGCAGCCTGGTGGAAGGCGAAGGGTTGTCGGTGAGATGTCGTGTTTCGTGTGGCACTTGATGTTGCAGACACCGGCGCAGGGGCCAACGACGGAAGTGGTTTAGCCCGGGTCGGGCCTTGCCACGAGGGCCGAAGCTTTGAGGATCGCCAACCGTTTCACCGTCCACCGTATTCCACGCATCATGCAAGCGCCCGCCAGCACGACGTTATCCCCTTGAACCAGTATATTGTTTTTGGCCGGCAGGTCTCCAGTCTCCAGATGTTGCGATGGCAGTCGATCCTCTGTCCCCGATCGCGCCTGCGCGCATTAGGGCCTTGCTTCTCCCCGTGGGTCGCATCAAGCGTTCGCGCTTCATAGCCTTTGTCGACCTCTTGCAACAAGAGTCATTGGTTCGATTGGGCGACATTAGCCCTGATCCACGACCTGACCGGAGTACGAGCCCTCGTGATCCAGCTTAGTCCTGATGTTTACTGATCTTGGCGACGAATAGATATGTTTTCTCCTTTAGCGTGGCCTGACGGAACTCTACTTTATGACTTGTCAACTTCTATGCCATCGGCCTCTCATCTATCTCTTTCGCCGTTTGAGCAGTTCAGAGAGCCCCTACTTGTCATTGGGATCGGAGACGCGTCCGAGTATGCCTGGCTACAGCCGTCACGTGCGACTGAAGGGACACCAAGTCCGACATTTGAAGATCCCCCAGTCGGCGATGATGAAGCGAACGCTATTCAGTTCGGCATCGATGATCTCAGAGAACAGTTCCCCAGGGCGTATCTTCACAGCATCATGATGTTTGATTCAGCAACCCAATCTCGACATCCACGTCTACCTCAAGAAACCCTCTTGATCCCGCCAAAATCACATCTAAAGACCACTACGATGAAGACCTTCATGTGCGATCTTACTGCAACCTTATTAGCAGAGATGACGACCTTGGCGAAGTCTATACAAGCTCTTCCTACACTGGTCTCGCCTGCTTCACAGAATGGAGCAGCGGAGGCCACACCCAGCTGGGCCGCGGCCGACTCCACTTCGCAATTCGCGCGTCGAAATTCGCAGACGCCGACTGCCAGCAGACCAGAGTCGCCTGTAAACAATGCACTGAAGGATAGCCACCGCATGTCAATGCCCGTATTGTCATCAAACTCTGGGGGACCGTTGTCCACGGAGGATCCGAGAACTGCTTCTTCGAGTGCGCAAGGTACACGTACACCACCAACAACATTTGATGAGATATCAGGCATCAACGCAGCCAACACGCTGCATCAAACGAATAGTGACTCTAGTAGACCTAGCACTGCAACCAAGAAGACTGCGGCAGACCGCGTGTCAATCCATGGCTTCGGTTCTGGTGGGGTTGGTGAAAGAGCTAGGAACAAGGGACGCGGTCGTATTGGAATCGTGATCGGTACATTATATATGTGTGCGGGGCAGTGGGTTGAGGCAGTACGAGAGCTCACAGAAGGCGCGACTAGAGCCCGGGCCCTGAGCGATCATCTATGGCATGCCAAAGCTCTCGAGCATATCATGGTGTGCATGCTTCTCTTCGCTTGGTCCGGCATGGAGTTTCAGGTTTGTTATCCCTTGGCACAAACATTATTGCAACTGCTCACCAGCTCTCCCAGATACCTGAAGTCTGCTATCCAGCTGGTGGAGGCATCACACCAACGCATACGCCATCTAACAGTGCCTCCGACGTCTCAACCCCAGCTAAACCCCAGAAACACGACAACTCATTGGACGCCCTCAATTCGCTGCTGCCAGACATGGTCAGCATGATACTGAACCTATATACGCGGGCGGCCAACTTTGCTGGAGAATCTTTGCCGCCTCTTGCGTTCTCGGAATGTGTGATACGATTTTCCAAGTTATTGGCTTCAATCAATTTGTCTGCAGGCTTTCTCGACGATGACGCATTACGACACCTTGTACAGAACGTACCGTACAAGCAAAAGGCGCGGCTTTCAGTTCCGAGGCTTAGTGTACATCCCACGCGCAACGATATTGCTTCCATGTTATTCCGCGCATTACCTGGGCCTGTAGAAAGCTCAGGAATGAACCCTACGGACCGCGTTGTAGTACTGGCTGGTGTTGCTTCGATTTTGTCATCATTGGGATTGCAACGGAAAAAGGCCATCGTCATGAAGGAGTTCATCACATCTCTCGTTCCTGGCTTGATCCAGGCCCGTAAAGTGGGAGCCGCTGAGATGGGAGTTCACCCGGCTGCTGGTCTTGCCGCTCTGAATATCGCAAATGGTGGCACTTCGGGAACTGGCGCCCTCAACTTGGGCGAAGGCGAGGTCGAGCAAGGTATCGGTGAATTTTTGGGTCTACTAGGCCGAATATACGGAATACCAAATTCGAAAGGGAACATGCCCGACATCACCGTACCCAGCCAAAGGAGCGAGAATGCGGAAAGTGCTGCGGACAGCATTGCTAGTCAACGCGTAGTCGACGCTATTCTGGCAATCTCTTCATTACGAACTTTTGGCAGTCTAAGCCTCAAACTGGAAATACTGCGAACATGTCTGAGTTTCTGCGAAGCGTTGCCAGATTTCAATGGCGTTCTCCATTTTACCGCCCTCTTACTGCGGGTTGCAGGCCCGGGTACGGCGCCCAGGCCCAACAGCACCGACGTGTTCGTATCTCTTGCACGAGATGAACAGATCCGGCTCTACTCGAACATCTCGAGAACAGTCACAGCTGCGAAGAAGCTTGGGCTACAGCATGTAGAAACAGAATATTGGGACGACTTTCTTGTCCGCGGGTTGTTTATACTCGAGGAACTGGAACCTCTGCGGCTAACTCAGAGGCAAGGTACGGAACTAAAATCAGATAGCCAAGGAAAAGATGGCCCATTCCTCCACAATGCGTGGTTAAAGAAGCCACAAACGAACGCTGCGCAAACAGTTCTAGTTGCTAATGAGCACTATCGCTTCGTCATCGCCATGCAGAACCCATACGAGTTCGAGCTTGGGGTAGAATCGTTGAAGATCGCGGCTGAAGGTGTGGAGTTTGTTGCACTAGAGGAGCACTTCCTGCTTGGTCCTTACAGAACTCAAAAGTTCCAGATCACAGGAACAGCGCAATCCTCAGGGTCATTGAAGATCATCGGTTGCTATGTCAAGCTCATCGGATGTCGAGAGCGACTTTTCCCTATATTCCCTGAACCATGGAAGCCGAAAAGAGAAGCGAAGATGAAACGCATGGGTCTCAAGGCCTGTCTGGGCGCTCCAGCATCACGGCCCTCAACAGCTATTGCGCCATCGATCGACCATAGAGCAACGTTCCAGCCGAAGCCAGAGTCATTGACATTTTCTGTAATACCAGATCAGCCTGTCATTGTTATCACCAAAGTGTCTTTACCACAGTCAGCGGTCATGGTGCTTGAAGGCGAAAGAAAACGTTTTACCGTTACTGTCAAGAACACCTCAGCTGTAACAACTGTCGACTTCGTTCACATCTCTTTTCAGGATACCGCGACTGCTGCAATACAAGCGGCGACGTCCAACAAAGACTTGCCCGCAGCTGAACTGCACGAACTAGAGGTTCAACTTGCCCATCATCCTTCATTGCGTTGGTGTAAGAATGAGGCCGAAGAATCGCCGAGCATCAAGCCGGGCGCCGAAGCAGAATTTACTATTGAGGTTATCGGCCGGACAAGACTGACGGATGCTACCATCCAGATCGACTACGCCAACCTTGGAAAGCGAAGATCTGAAGTCGAGGAACACTTCTTTACCCGTCAGGTGTCGGCGCCCATCTCCATCACGGTGAATGCAAGTGTGCAGCTTCAGCGCCCAGACATAGTACCCCTATCCGGCAACATCGGCTGGTCCGATACCATATCGTCGGGCTCGCAAGCTCAAGCTGACCACGAGTCATCAACTACTCCGGCATCTGGGAAAGCTGACGGTCATCTTCGGTCTTTCATTAACCAGAAGCAAAGCCACGAGAACGACGAAGAGCACTGCATGCTCCTTCTAGATCTAAGAAACTCATGGCCGAACCCATTGTCGATAACTCTCCAAGCCCGGAAGCCTATGCTTGATGGCAACTACAGCGACGAGTCCTGGAACGAAGCGCATGGTGTCAATGAAATCATACAGCCGGGGCATGTCAGTAGGATCGTCATGATTCTTCCAAAGGTTTATCTACAAGACCCACACGCCGCTGTGCCATCCCTGAACCCCGCCAATCAACGTCAGTTTGTCGTAAGCACGAGTAGAATCTCTCCTGAAACCGAACGCGCGAGCAGGGAAGCTTTCTGGTACCGTGAAGAGCTACTCAAGATTGTGCGAGGAACGTGGACAGAAGACGGCAATGGACGTCATGGTGAACTAGAATTGCGTGGCATCCGTTTCACACCGCGCATGGTTGAAGCCATCAAACTCGAGGATCTTGCCATCACTACGACCATCATCGCGGACTATCCCACAGCAGATGGTGAAAATGCTGCACGACAGATTGGTCGCGCAAAGTTCAACGTGCCAATCGATGACTTTCTCACGATGAAGACGTCCGTCCGTAACCGAAGTTCGCGTCCCATCTCGCCTATACTAAGACTGCAGCCACATGTCGCTGGCCTTCCGCACAACATCGCGTTGGATCTCGATAAGCGCTTCTCATGGACCGGAGTACTGCAACGCAAGCTACCGGTCATACAACCCGGAGAGATTGTGGAGTCTGAGCTTGGTATCGTTGCGCTATGCGGTGGTACATACGAGATTGGTGCAACAGTTGACGAAGCAGAGTTCATCAAGACCGGTGGTGGAGATGAGGACCAAAAAGCGAATGTCGACACCCAAACTTTGCTGCAGGGTGGCAATGTCTTGGGCGAACCGAAGCTACGAACTTGGTACATGAGAGAGCCTTGTACCATCGTTGCGAGGAAATGATATGGAGACGAGTAAATTAGCTGAATGATATAGATAATATGATACATAGTCATGTTTGATCTCCTCGAGTGGGATTGCCCTTGTGATACGTCACGCGCTTGCAGTATGTCTCAAGTCAACTACGA